GGGGGGGGGGGGGGTGAATGCCTCTCTTTAGGGCACTTGCTAAGAACATGGCCGCCAGCTATTTCGGTAAAAAAGCGCCTTACGGTTTTGTAATGGAAGTTACACTTCTGTATGTCTTTATTCTGTGACCGCATCTTTAAGCAAACGATGTTTTTCTCAACACTCACGTCACCCGAAAACCGGTTTGGCGGCATTTTGCATCCTAGCGCTCGTGCAAGAAAGAAAAAAACATCAAAATGTTTAGTTATATGTGTTGAAGATTAGGCGTAAAAAAATACCTGTGGTTCCGGTTCCCGACCGACCCTATTATTTTTTTAACGCGATTGACCGTGCGACCCTATTTTCTCCAGGTAGTTGCGGGCTGCTCATACAGCGTGCCAAAATGGCGTCTGTTGTCACACTAATTATTGAACCAAATTGCCTAAATTCGTCCATAGGAAATACGAATCTCTAGTTAATATTGATGTCGGGACTCTACTGCAAATCGCCCAGCAAAAAACCACCAAAACCATGAAAAAAATATTCAAAAAAAAAATTATTTCCGACCTACCGACCCTAAATTTTTCACGATATGAAACCGGAACCACAGGTATTTTTTTTACGCCTTACCACAAACTGACACAAACACAGTTTTTAATCCAGTCCCCCTCGGCAATCTAAGCTCCAGTGCTTCCATTTTCAAAAAACATAATTTCCTTCAAGTAGTTAAAATTTCCTTCAAAAAGGAAATTTCCTTCAAAATGGAAGCACTGCTAAGCTTGCTAATATCACTTGCACCACCCCCTCATTATAATAGGTTTAGCGCCTGAATATACATTGAATCATACACAAAACTAAATACTGTCCTTTATTCCAGTCAAATTGAACTTTTCCTATTTATAATTGATCTCGTTCTAGACTAATATTCCCTAATGAACAAAATTTTGATCTAGACAAGTCTAGACAAACATTTCATCACGTACAGCTTGAAAGAGCATCACAAAATTAGTAATATTTCGAAGTTTCGTTGCGAAATGTTGTAAAATGGGATAATATAACCCTGCGTTTTTCAGTCATTTTGTATTACGCAAGGGAAATTGATACCGCTTTCTGAAAAAAGGTACCAGTTTTCCGCGCGTAATACAAAATGACTGAAAAACGGCAAACTTCGCAGGGTTATATTATCCGCATTTTACATTTCGCAGCGAAACTTCGGAATATTACTAATTTTGTGATGCTCGTTCAAGCTGTGATAAAATTTAAACTTATCTAGATCAAAATTTTGTTCATTAGGAAATTGGTCCATTGTCGAAAGTTTCCATCTTACATGTTTGTCGGCCATTTTGAATATTTAATTAACTTATTCCATACTCAGTTGAAGTGTTCTACTACCCCCGCCCAATCAAACTCTAGTGTTCATTCATAGAAATAAGAGCACAAAAGAACAAAGTTTTCAACAATTTACATACTTTATTTCAATTTTCACAAAATAATAATACTCTTTACTTTATTAAATATATCATCCAAGCCCGCTAGCAGACGTCAGGAGTGTTTCACAAGTGCAATTTAAACAATGCCTTCCCTACGCTAAGCTGATAAAGATCTTGTCCTGACAAGATGTTTAGGTCGTTGTTGCCGATTCGTCGGACAAACTATTTGAAACCACAGACTTGACCGACGTCGTTGGTCGGTGTGTTTGTCTGCCGACCGATTGTTTTTTTCTTCTTCAATATCCACAAGTTCATAGAAAATTTTGTTAACGTTCCAGCGAACTTTCGCCGATGTAAACATTAATTTACACTTCCATTCATCAACGATTTTCTTCTGTGCTCGCAGTTCATCAGAAAACGGCAAAGCTTCGGAATTGTTTGAATTTTTCACCATCGCTTCTAAACTGGCTGTGTCTGTGAGATCCGTCTTGTTGCATACGATCAAAATAGGAACTTTGGTTTGTCCTTTGTATTTTAAGATCTCTTGTCGATGCCATTTCACTTTCTCGAAAGATTTTGGATCGTCCACGGAATAGACAAGAATAAACGCTTCCGACTTTGAGATCGCTATTTGTCGCATCGCCGGGAAATCGTAGGACCCCGTCGTGTCCAAGATTTTGAGTTGTCTGCATCTGTGAGTTCCTCGAATGATTTCTTCCTCGTAATAATCTTCCACAGTAGGGTTATGTTGCTTTGAGAAACTCTGCCCGATAAATCGTCGAATTAGTGCAGTCTTGCCGACTTTTTTATCTCCAAATACCGCAATAGTGAGCGGTCTTGCAAAACCGAGAGCCTTGGAAGCCATTCTGAGGTATTGGTCTTTCTTAATCTGAACAAAACGGTACACCTTTCCCCTTTATATATGCTTTAGTTTATTCAAATACCCACGCAAACTTTAGCGAATGGCGTTTGCCATTTTCCCCGCGTTCTTGTCTTTTGGATGAAATATACAGGAGCAGCTGCCCCGAGCTGCCAGTCTCTGTGACGTCAGACATGCTTTAATTAGAATCATAGACTAACTTTAAACTTTATATATACGTATTAATTCGGCCAAAAATAAATTCTCTTCATCAATTCAAGTGATTTTTAAGTTCAAAACGAATGGTGTAGTTTCTAAAACTTCTTAACTTTAAGTAGAGGCTATTTTCAAGGATTAATTGTGTTTAATTTTATATCAATGACATGGATCTATCTATATTAATATTAATAATATACTTCGAATTATGCATAAAACAGATCATTTTAAATTCGCACATGCAAAGTCGCATTTTAAAAGTTTCCGTTCGTTTTTCAACATATTAAAACAACTATAAAATAAGACTAAAATTCAAACTAAAATTACGTAAAAGAATTCCTATTTCTATCTTATCGGCAGGAAAACGAAAAAATGTCCCAATAGGCAATATATTTAAAACTTTTTTTACGGCATTAATTATTCATCGAGAGATCGTTATGGCGAAAAGACGTAGATAAAGTATTATTTTTAGCCAAGAATGTGTCGCGTACGTGGGTGGTCGTGAGTGTCGCGATACGAGAAAAAGTATATTTTAAAACCAATATTTTATCGACCTTGCTTGTAAAACTTTTCTCGATAAAGTTACGATGCTTTTTATTCCACCTTTTTGACATCCGTTTTTGACACTCATTTCGTTTGACATCTTATTTGGATTTCCATATATGGAGTGAATTAATTCATGAATCTGCACTTTTCCTACGCATTTAGATATATATGACTTTAATTTAAAATCGTAAATGTAAATTATAAGAAAGCTTCGGATTAATAGGGATACAACTACCTGAAAAATACAAGGAGAATGTAGTATTGTAGATGTTTCGAGCGAAGGCCTTTCGTTGGGACCTTAGTAGCCAAAGGAACTTAGTATATCCTTCCCGATGAAGGTCCTTCGCTCGAAACATCGAAGTTCTCCTTGTATTTTCAGGTAGTCGCATCTCTACCAATCCACAGGTTTCTTAGGCCAGGGTTCAAAAGTAGAACTTTTCATGCGCCGAACCTAATGCAAATGAAGTGAAACAAAAAACTTAGCTCATTAACATTAGGTTCGGCACTTGAAAAGTTCGACGTTTGACCCTGGTCTTATGATTGCCACAACCTACACTGCCATTCTAGATTAACGTAAAATATTGCGTGTGAACCACGCGTGGCGTGGGGGTTACTTAAAAACTGAAAAAAAGTCATGTAGGTGGTACAGCGCCACTTAATGTATAGCTAGCTTTCAAAAAACGTTTGGGGGCAGCAGTCCACTTTAGAACTGCCGACATTTATACAGAAGCAAGGAATTAAATTTGTTTCATTAAATTTGAGCGATAGAAGGTTTTGAGAAGTGAATTTTTTAACAAGAGGCTCACACTACACAACGATAACTTGTAAACATTTGCTCATTGGTCAAAAAAAATTATCGTCAACGTCCGACTGAAAAAAATCGCTTAAAATCATTATCGTTATCATATCGTTGTAGTGTGACCGGCAACCTACGTGTCTGTCAATGCTTGTCAAATTAATGGATACCAGCTTGTGCGCAGTGCCTCATCACACTGTGAACTTGAAGGTATTTTAACATTAGGTTCGACGTTTGATCCTGGCCTCAGCGAGACGTCAAAGCCAGGGGCGTAGCCACCCCAAACAAGTGTGTGTGTGTGTGTGTGTGGGGGGGGGGGGTCTTTAATCGTCCGGCTGTCTGGGGGCGTGGTCCTCCGGGAATTTTTTCAATTTTTAGTGTCTGCGAAAACGCTATCTCATGCATTTTAGACACGTTTTATGATAATCTGAAAGACACAGATTTGGTATAATTCATGTCATAGATGAAACATTCAGAAGCTAACTCCCCCCTCACAGTTTCTCCTCAGTTTTGGAAGGGGGATCCTGACCCTCTCATCCTGCCCCCGTGGCTACGCCTCTGCTCAAAGCGTTCTTAATAGTCTAAACTTCCGCCCTTAGATCGTAATGAAAACGCTTCCCATACATACGCCTTTACCACCATATATGAGTAGGTGTGTGTGGGGATGATCTGTTCTAAGATGACAACAGCTGTTTTTCTTTTGTTGTACCCAAATATGTGGGTAGAATATCGTGCACCAGATGGTAATCAACTACCAATTATCAGAGTTAGAAAATAATGTTAATTCTTGGCATTCTATGTCGTGTCATGTTATTGGTACTCAACCAGCAGTCAACATGTACCCGGCTCTACCTTGGATTTTTTGGCTTGCAGACTCATTTTTCACTCAGCTAAATTTGGTAGAGCTTCTGGCTATAGAATTTTTCAAGAGAACTACCTACGCTGCCCGAGTGGGCAGAGAAACGACGATCAAATGAGGATGAGAGCTGATGCGAGTTGGCGGCGCTTGGCGCCAAGTCACGCATTGTTACAGGGGACATTCCAAACTCTAACAAAATAAACGTTTGATGAGTGTTCAAATATGTTTTAAGGTTACAGGACACCCTTTTTGGCGTTTTGCGGAAAATCGCTACTGCGCGCTCAATATTAGTCCGATTTGAATCAAATTTTCACCAAATGTTCGCCAGTGTATGCAAAATATGGTAAAGTTGTAAAATTAACAAACAATAAAATAATATAAGAATTATACAGGAATATCTTAAATCGCGGTACCGTTACGCTTTTGAGTTGTGCTCCTGCTGGTTTTAAGTTATATTTATGAAAATATCATTTTTATACAGTAAAATAGTTGTTCTAAAAAATTGTGTTCGGAATTTTTTGTTTATTTCGTCATTCCGCTGATATGGCGATTTCTTTGAAGACTGCAATATATTTCTGAATTGTTTGAGTGAATTGCTCTTTATTATTAAAATATCCAAAATTTTAAAAAAGCCGAACAAAATTTTGAAACTGACGTCTTTAGCTATGTCCTGTGAAAATTTGAGAAAAATTGGTCAAAACCCGCAGGAGCACAACTCGTTTGAAAATCAGTAATTACCGTAAAATTCTTCGGGAGAAAATTGAATTTGAATATTACATTTTCAATGTTTTTCTTATTGCAGCGAAATGTATTTTATTAAATAACGCTGCGAGTTTTCAACATTTTTCGTTCAAACTTGGTCAGATAGTAGAACTAGTCTAGCTAATGCTTTCATGGAAACCAATAAAAAAAATTTAGGCAAAATTAACCGTCAAAGGTGTTCTGTAACCTTAACTTCTGAAGTGGACCATCATCTCATAGCAACAATTTTGTTCCGGACTTTATTTGGTGGAATTAAAAATCCCGTCATTTCCTTTTTACTCACTTTCTACTTTACTTCTAATGTTCCACAATATGTAATAAACTTACTAAAAATATAATATTTACTTGTTAAAAAAACATTCAATTTCCACAGTACTTTAAATAAAGACAGTAAATACAATACAGGCCTTTAAAGCCGGTTTCCCATTAGGCGGAATTTTGCGCGCGGAGCAGAATTTTTCTCTGTCTTTTCTAATTAGTTCCAGCCGAGAAATCACAAGACAAAGAAAAATTCCGCTCCACGCGTAATATAAAAATGGCGTGTTGTGCCCATGTATGGATACGCCACGCCATTTTCACGTCGTCTTTGACGTCTGCGGTCTAAATCTGTTTATTCCGTGTAATGGAAAAGCGGCTTAACAACTAATGGCGAATCAAAGTGAAACACCTTACACTTCGTGCAAATATATACTACAAAATCTTAACTCTTGATTATCATTTCAACAAAATCAAATGTGCTGCGCATGTTTAGGAATAGAGGTAAGCCTGACTCATACCACAGTGCTCATACGAGTGAGATATGCACAAGCAAAGGAAAAGACAAAACAAAGAAATTCCATGAAGCTTGCGACATAACCTTCGACATAAACGCAAGCTTAAAGCACAAGCCTCTAAGAATAAACTAAGGGAAACAAAAGAAATTTCAAAATAAAATTCTGTCCGCTTTGTGTTTGTAAGTCCCAAAACTTTTCTTTTGCATTCCAGTTTGTGCTTATCTCGTCCGTGTGAACGAGGCTTTAGAAATATCAGAATAAGGCATCCGCCTGTTGCTATGACAACAGTCTTGTATACAATTTCCAATGGTGTACACGACATCAAATCACAGATGTCATTCTATATTTACTTCTGTTTTCACTGCTGTCATTGGAACCATCAGACGAGTTTGACACCCATTTATTTTTCATATCTTGTCCTAGAACACCAGGGAGTGTGTTCATATCTTCTGTACTACCTCGAGCCACAGCTTCACTCACAATTTCGTGAGCCGGCATTTGCTTTGCCACAATAAATTCAGGTTCGACAAAGTTGTATTCAGGTTCGACAAAGTTGTATTCAGGCCTAGAAACATTGATTTCTGGCCTTGATATGTTGGATCCTTCATATCTTGGCATTAATACAGTATTTGTTTCTGTACAACCTTCGTATTTTGGCTTTATAACAGTATCAAATTCATTCTCGTAGCTTGGTTGGGCAAAAGTTCGATTCCTTCTGTCGATATTATCTCCACTGATTTCTTGTGGTTTTCGTATCGGGATATAATCGGGAGGTGCTCGTCTATCATTCTGGAACTCATTAGGATAGTCCGTGAAACGCTCGGGTTCTGACGTCACACTTCTCGCGACAACAACTTCATCAGGCGGGGACTGGTCACGAGTTGTGGTATCGACCGCTGACCTGGGGCGTATGGACCGACTTTCATAACCGTCGACCTGATCGCGGGCTGGAGTTGGTTCGAAGTTAGAACTGAACTCTGATGGGAAATTGCGACCGTAGTCTGATGGGTACTGGCGACTGGACGTTTGAGGATAATTGGAATCTGAGCGGTTATATTCATTGCCCTCTGACCGGCGATATGTACTGGACCGTGGTTGAAAGTTACCGTATTCTGTTGGGTTATATTCGTTGGGCTCTGACCGCCTATAATTACTGGACTGTCCTTCAAAATTACCTTCCTTTGATTGGAAATATTCTTTGGGCTGTGACCGTTGATAGTTACTGGAGTGTGTATTGTATTCTGTTGGGACGTAACTGCTAGCATGTATGACAGCGGTAACATCAGGTTCATAATTCTGGGAACGTCGTTTGGGATAGTCAAGTGAGACTTCACGCCCAAAGGTATAGTCCGAACTCCCTTGAGATTTGTGGAGAGGACCTGATGGGGGTACATTTGATGGTAGGGAGGGCGGAGGGTAGCTTGGTTTAGATGTTGTTGTGCGTAGATCTTCGGTTGAGCTGGGGGTGGATGCTCTATGTTTACGTGGAGGGGCTGTAGAGGACAGCTCGGTGGGAGGGTAGTCTTCTGAGCGGACGCTGCCTCGGTGTTTGCGGGGTGGAGCGGTGGGTGAGACTTCGTTAGGAGGGTGATACACATCTTCTGTGGAAGGTACCGATCCTCGATGTTTGCGGGGTGGGGCTGTCGGAGAAAGCTCGGTGGGAGGGTAAGCTGCATCTTCCGAGGAAACAGACGTTCGGTGTTTACGGGGAGGGGCTGTAGGGGTGATGTCATTGCGAGGGGGGTAATTTAGTTGAGACATGGTGTTGTTTGATAGATTTTCTGAAGAATGGAACGAAAGTTCGCTCGGTCGTGATGAAGGGGATGCAGGAGCGGGGTGGCCTAACGAATACGCGGGGGTAAACTCTTGCGATTTTCGATAAGGTGGTGGTTCCTTAGCAACGGGTGGGGGAGGTGGCCTGTAATTTGGTCTCGTTGGAGGACGGCGATTCCCTTGTTCTGAATAAGAACCGTATGCTGATGCACCCTCTTTTACCAGTCCTGGAGGAGGGCGATAGGGAGGAGGGACCCTTTTGTCCACTTGAGTATTACTACGAAAATCATCTCGTGAAAGCGGGTCATCCTTAGGTCCCCTCGTGTACCCAGAACTAGCTCGACGCCGTGAGGTGTCCAGCAACACTTCCGGTAAAACATGTCGGCTTTCTTTTTGGTTAGTCTGAGAAGGTAGGCTATGCATGGTGGTTCGTCGTCTGGGGTGATCAAGAGACACTTCTTTTTGGAAACCATCTAACCTTCGCTGATCAGTGAAGCTTCCAGACCTTTGCTGGTCTACAAAGCCTTCAGACGTACGCCTAGCAAATTCCAAATCTGACTTCAGGATTTCCTCATGAGAGCTCCTTCGGGGATGGTCCAGAGATACTTCCTTTTGGTTTGTGAATCCTGCAGGTCTTAGCTCATCTCTTAACCCTTCAGTCCTTCCTGTGAAACCTTCAGATTTAGGTCTAGTGTAATTTGCACTTGGCTTCCTAAATTCTTCATTTCCTGTCCTTTCATCTCTGGTGAAACCTTCAGATTTTCTTCTTGTGTTCAACATATTTTCGTCACTGTAAGCCTTGTGAATTGCAAAGCCGTCAGATTTGCGTCTTGTGTAGTCTTGATATGGCTGTGCTCGAGTATTTCGAGAATCGTCTTGGTTTACAGGGCCTTTTGACTTTCGTTTTGTATAATCAAAATTTGTGTTAAACTGTTCATCTTGACGACGAAAGTCATTCAGTGACGTCGAAGACTGACTTTTACGTTCCAGAAGCTTTTCATTACCCTGGTAATTGGAAGGAGAACGCATACCATCATCTGCCCGCAAACCATCACCTGCCCGCAAACCATCACCTGCCCGCCAATTCTCTGGTGGACCGCTAAGTTTAATATCATTGTTCAGGGTACTGTCTAACCCTTTGCTTCTATCTGCCGTTTTAGCAAACGAAACCCCATCGTAATTTTGCTTTGAGGTTGGAGACACCGAGTTCAATGTTTGTTCTTTTCCCGTTTCAAAGTCATAAACGAACTGTTCGATATTGTCTCCCTCGACGTGAAGAGATTTCTTCAACTTCTTATCTTTCTTTCTTGGCGGTCTAACAGGGCTCGTAGGTTCTTCTGCTGTTACTTCAGCGTTCTTTTGTTCAGAGCTGGTTAATATTTCACTCACTTGTTTATAATTATTGTTAAATTTCGAAATTACTTTATCGTTATTGTGAACAGGTTGCGCTTCGGGTAGTTGTTCTTCCTCACCAAAACTTGATAGATTTCCATTGACCTTATTCAGTTTACTTGACGAGTCAACAGATCTACCACCCAGTTGAGAACTTAATGAAGGCTTACTATGCTGTTGAATGCTTACTCCTGACTTCTTGTTTGGTGGAATCATAAAAGTTGCCAACTCCTCGCCCTTGAATGGATCTAGGGACCCTTTCTCTGGACTTGAATCAATCCTAAGCCTCAACGAGTCTTCATCGTATGGCTTCATTGTCTGTTTCAAACGTGATGCGTCTTCAGCAAAAACTGAAGGAGGTCTACCATTAGTAGCTTCGTCCATTGTTAATCCAAGTTCATCTTGGAAGGGTGAATGTTCCGTTAGATTATTCTCCGAGTGGGACCTATGAACTGCTCCAGGGTTCGATAGGGACACTGAAGGACTCCTACGTTCATCACTAGACTCTTGGGGTTCGCTTTCCGAGATTCGTGCAAGATTTCGAAATTCGTTTTCAGGATAGCTTCGGCTCAGAAGTCTCTGACGCGCATCCTCAGGGTTAGTCACCAGTTCCCCGTCAACGGCGTCCGGTTTCTCCTCTGGTTGCTCTGCTTGACTTTTTTTAGCGTAGAAAGAAATTGGGAACAAACTGCCCGAGTTATTACGCTGCATTTTGTATAGTGCTTTTTCATCGTTTTCCAGAGTTGATTCAAGTCTAAATGAACAGAGGGAGACTATAATAAAAAGCACTGCAAGTAGTTCAAATTGAACACACAACATTATTTTGGTGTACACTATCAACGTTTCTGTGATCACAGTAGGAATATTCCACGGTTAAATTCTACGTTTTGAAGGATTTGTAAGAAATGTTTGAGGGAACTAAATCAGTGGAACTAACGCCCGTATTCTAAAAGTTCACTCACACTCAATGAGTGGAGGTTCAATCTGAGCTTCTCTTAAGTGTCAGTGCAGTTTTTGAATAGCTGGAGGGTTAGTGTCCTACCTTACTATGTGACTACTCACCCTCCAGCTATTCAAAAACAGCATTGACACTCAAGCTCAGATTGAACCTCCACTCATTGAGTGTGCTTTTAGAATACGGGCGCATGACAGTCCCTCCAATTCCTACTGTGTAAAACAGACTTCACTCTGAGTGTTTCCACACTGGGCAAAAGCTGAAGAATAACTTGACCGCGGCGGGAATTGAACCCGCGACCTTTGGTTTGCTCGGTGTGGACCATTCTCGTACCCAGAGCCCTTCTTACGCGCGGTGCGACGAGGGGCTCTGGCCAAATCCATATTCCGAACTGGCATCTAATTGGCTAGTTCTAACACCGGACATTGTTTTCTTACCATGTTTTTATGGTATCCGGTTATGGATTTGGCCAGAGCCCCTCGTCGCACCGCGCGTAAGAAGGGCTCTGGGTACGAGAATGGGTGTGGACACGCCCACAGTAACATTAGCAAAAATAAATTAAGTTTGAACACCACAATCATCACACAACATGTTTAAAAATATAGCAAACATTTTAACTTTTAATATCCATAGATTGCAGCAACTTCAAATGTGCCAATACCTTAGTTGAAAACATGATTTTAGGCTATGATATTTATCGTTCAGTAAATGCTATAAATTTATTTTTTTATTTTATTTTTTATTTTTATTTTTTTTTATTTTAACAACTTTAATTTGGCACATAAAAAACTGAATATTTACATAACTTAAACGGATAATTACATTGTACAAGAAGACGAGGAAAGTGCCAAAAGTGGCGAAACACAAACGAGACTATGTCCCATGCAAGGTGCTCACCACTAGACAACAAACAAAGACAAGAAACAAAGACAAGGAAGATTAAATGAAAAGACTAAGGGAATGACAAGGCAGAAAGAATGAAAAGACAAAGAGAGAAATGTTAGATATTTGCTATAAATGCTATAAATTTGGCAATAGTTTTAAAATTACCTTAGTTGAAAAAATTATTTGGGCTGTGATATTTATCGTTTAGTAATGCTATAAATTTGACAATAGTTTTAAAATTACCTTAGTTGAAAAAATTATTTGGGCTGTGATATTTATCGTTTAGTAAATGCTATAAATTTGACATTAGTTTTAAAGTTAGTAGTAAAGTTAGTCACGTACTGTCAAGTAGTCTGCATCAAGACTTTTACTTGCTCTTAACTTTGGTTTAATTGTAGGGTCGTTTAACGTTGTGGTTGAGGTATACTCTTCAATGTCCGACAAACTAAAATCATTAAAAATCTATTTTTAATTTCTATTCTACTTTATGACTTTATCGTATTCTAAAGTTAGTTTTATAAATATTAGGAAACACCTTTAAGCCCCGTTTACACTACGCTCAATTTTTGGTACGGCACGGATAAAATTGGTACCCGTACCACTTTTTTGGTTCTTGGACTACCCTATTTAGCTAAGCCCCGTTTACACTACGCTCAATTTTTGGTACCGTACCACTTTTTGGTTCTTGGACTACCTAAATAGGTAGTCCAAGAACCAAAAAAGTGGTACGGGTACCAATTTTATCCGTGCCGTACCAAAAATTGGGCGTAGTGTAAACGAGGCTTTAATGCCTAAACTTTAAGTAAAGCTTTGATTCAGATTTTGCAAAACTTTATTACAGTACAAATTTATATCAACGCATGTCTGTCGAGAGCATTTGAAGCTTTTAATGAGTTCACCCTAACGTTATTAAAACTTGCAAATGCTTGCAGTTTCATGTGAAAATATTAGATGTTTTAAATTTTTTTGCAAAACCACAGTTTGCATTTAACGATAAACAGTCAACATGCAAACCACCAACAAAGCAAAACCACAGTTTGCATTTAACGATAAACAGTCAATATGCAAACCACCAACAACTAAAATATTTAAAAAAAAAATTCTAATATCTCACCTTTCCTGCCTCGAACTGTCCCAGTGTTCGATGACAGGCCGCTCTGATCTCCTCAACTTCTTTGGTTTCTTGAGAAAGCGGAACGAGGCGCCCTACACATGACATATGAAGTCTGTTTAATCAAATCCGTAGCAGGTGCGGTCTTCTCAATTTGCTGTTGTTTTCCTTCAAACATTTTTCGAGTGGAAATCTTTTATGACTTCCTCAAGCGATGTTTTCGTGTTCGTTCCGCCATCATTTCAAAAAACAATCGTTTCAAGTTTAAAAATAGAACTATATAGTTAGCTGGGATCTTGTGAAAGCGAAATACGAAAAAGCAGAAAATTTTTGTCGGGTACATTAAATTTTAAACTGCAAATTTCAAAGACAGCATTCGTTTAAAGGCATACTTTATCCAAATAGTTCCCCTCATGTGCATTGCTGAGAATAAAAATAGTTGTCGAATACTTAAGTAGGCCTTACCCGAATAAAGTTTTTTATAATTGAATACCTGAAGTCTGCAGACACATTCCTATTACCCCATGCAGAAAACCTCCAGAGTGCGGTGCTAATGTGCGGTTTGTATTTCTCATTTTCGACCAAACATACCTGACCGACAATGAGGTCCGTCATAAAAATCTTAGAATTTTGAACATACCCCTTTAAGCTTGGGTTTTATTTTCGGAGATTCCTTCGGTTCCAAATATTTACTGAAGCCACTGGCATTGGAAGAATCTTAAATAAAAAATTCACGAAAATTATCAAACTTAGGAAAGTTCTTACCGAAACCGAAACTAATTTAATCCCATGCTACATTGCAATATTTTTGTACATTTTTTTGTAAAGTATAAAATTTAATAAAATATTACTATATTATATGATCTATACTAATGTTTATTTTGACTTTAATTATTCCCGGTAGAAGGCCATTAAAAAAATTAAAATGTACATGTATTTGCTTATTTTTATATCTGCATGGTTTATACTATCAAAATTTCTGTGATCACAGTAGGAATTTTGCATGGGTAAATTCTAAGTTTTGAAGGATTTGTAAGAAATATTTGAGGGAATTAACTTTGTGTTAAACACTGAATCAGTTTCCTCAAACATTTCCTACAAATCCTTCAAAATCAGAATTTATCTATGCAAAGTTCCTACTGTGATCACAGAAACTTTGATACTGTAAACCAGCATTGATTCTGTAATTCACGGCCTGGCACAATATTTATTGTGTATTCAATATGATTTCTTAAGATTATCCCATAATTAAAATATGTGTGTAAAATTGAAAAAAAAATTCAGCCATTTGTGGCAAATGGAATGCTGAGCATCACAAGATCTCAACTTCTTTTCTGTATGAACTTCTATACTACTAAATCGTCGTCAGACCGTTCCTCAGAAGCCTCATTATTTTCTTCTGCGAGCATTTCATCATTGCTGTCCTCTTCTGGCTCAATCACATCAACCAAACTATCACCGTACTCCGCCGAACCGTCACTATAACTTCGTCGGAGCTTACTCGGCACCTCGCCATCGACGTGTGAATGATCGGAATGAGGGTGATGTTTCTTGGCCAGAATTTTCCCAAATCTTTTTCCTTTTTTCTTACCTGGTGGTGGGTTCATTCCTGGAAATTTCTTTGTCATTTCTGCCAGTGCTGCCAAAGGCGAAATTTCAAAATTTATCTTTCAAATCCGTGAACGATAAAAAGTACGAACGATGAAAAATGATTCGCCATTATTTGTTGTGAAAAATCGAAGTGAATGCGTCGGTGATTGTTGTAATCATTAAAATCACGTCCTTGCTTGATTGGAATGATTAAATTTCCTCGGAATCATCACAATTAACATGTTGATTAATCGGAATCATTATAGGATATTGATTAAAAATTAATTGAATGGACAGTACTAAATGTACCACCGCGAGTATATTATTAATTTGTCAGAATCTACGTTATAACAATCGATGTTTTATGTTCGATCAGGGTGACATTATTAAAATCAAAGTAAAATATATGCACATACCGATTGCAGTTTCTGGTTCTGTGAGTTTCACTGCAAAAATACAAAGCAATTTCCTTATATATATTTCTATTGCTATGCATGAAACTTAACTAACTTTATTTATACTGGATAGCTCCATCTGTTCAAAACTGTTCTCCTTAGAGATGAACTAAGAACATCTCTTATATTAATCTACTGTTACTACAGGAGAAAACTTAAACTAAACTTTATTTATACTGGATATCTCTATCAGTTCTAAACTGTTCTCCCTAGAAGTTCAGTAAGGGTCATCTCTTATTGATCCAGTGTTACTACAGGAGGAAACCTAAATTAAACTATTAAAGACTAACAGCATAAAAACCTTCTTACGTTTTGTCTGTTCTGATAAATTCTTCGTGACAACATCCTTTGGTTCTTTGCCACTGTGATCACGAACATGAACATTGGCGTCTACAGTAAATAAGTAATATTTACAGCACTTTTTCGGAATAACATTAATTTAGTTTTACAGTGGATACAACACCTCATTAATTGTTTTAAATTTTCTTTATGAATTATGAGTTTTACAAATATAAATACAATGGTATGTCAACAAATAGAAGTAGTTAAAATTGCTGCACGCTACTTACGGTATTCATCAATCAGTATGTTGATTACATTGACTTTGCCATGCATCGTAGCAAGATGAAGGGGAGTATAACCCTGAGAAACAAATAAGATTGTTAAGGAATAGACAATTCCCATTTTTGACTAATTTTAAAACTAAACAAGGAGATGCAAATAAATCACCACAACTAGAAAGAACATTTGGGCCGAAAATGGTAGCAATTTCACGCAATACAAAAGTATACAACATTTGCAAACTTTGCAAGGCTATATCTTCCTCATTTTACAACATTTCGCAACCAAACTTTGCAATTTTACTCATGTCCTTTCTAGCTGTGGTGATTTATTTGCATTTCCTTGCTTAGTTTTAAAATTAGTCTATAATGGGAATTGTGTGTTGATGCTGAATGTTCAAACGAACAAATTGAGTGCAAATACTGTAATGTACCAAATTATAGTATAGAACAAAAATTACTTACGCCCTAAAACGTTTCCAAAACATCCAATAAACAAAGACATAAATTTAAAAGAAAACAAAAATTCAATCAGTTTCAAAAGCTGTATTTGTTAATCAATACTGGACAAATGAATTAAATATGTGCATGAATATACACTGTACTCAGGGAGCAAAATAACGGTTGGAGGCTCGCTGATCAAGGTGACCTTATCTCTTAAGCCAAAAGCATGGCAAGGGCTTTGTGACGTACTGCGTGGGAAAGCCGCCGTAGATTGAAGTTCTTTTCCCGAAGGTCAAGGTGACCGGCCAACTCAATTTTAGCTGGGACGTACCGATTTGATACCGAATTTCTGGCCGGTCAAATTATTCAGCTTAAAGCAAAGCCTAGTAAAGTATACCCCTAAAAATGTGACTATTTTCCCAGAATAGCATTACAAAGAGCCTTACTGTAATCCTTCACATAAAACAGCTTGCACTGCACTAAAACCATGGCCTTAACTCTTAAGCCAAAAGCATTGCCAAGGGCTTTGTGACGTACTGCGTGGGTAAGCTGACGTACATGAAGTTCTTTTCCCGCAGAACTCCTTTTACAAATGCCATAACTCGTTTTTCAAATGGCAAAACTCCCTTTACAAATGGCAGAACTCCCTTTACAAATGGCAGAACTCCCTTTTCAAATGCCAGACCTCCCTTTTCAAATGGCAGAACTCCCTTTTCAAATGGCAGAACTCCCTTTTCAAATGGCAGAACATGGTTTTCAAATGCCAGAACTCCCTTTTCAAATGGCAGAACTCCCTTTACAAATGGAAAAACTCCCTTTACAAATGGCAACTCCCTTTTCAAATGGCAGAACTCCCTTTTCAAATGGCAAAGCTCTCTATTCAAATGACAGAACTCCCTTTCCAAATGGCAAAACTCCCTATTCAAATGACAGAACTCCCTTTACAAATGACAAAACTCCCTATTCAAATGGCAGAACTCCCTTTCCAAAGGCAAAACTCCCTATTCAAATGGCAGAACTCCCTTTACAAATGGAAAAACTCCCTATTCAAATTACAGAACTCCCTTTACAAATGGCAAAACGCCCTTTACAAATGGCAAAACGCCCTTTACAAATGGCAAAGCTCCAATTTATCCAAACTGACAATTAGTGCTATAAAATATTTGTGAAACAGTATGTAACATTATTTAAAAATTGCCAACAATGCTGGGTCTATTTGAACAAGCTTTATGAGTCACCATCTTAAATTGAAAACACAAACAATCTCTACTTACGTTCTGTTGTAGATATCAAAACACATCATGGCAGCAACAAGATGAAAAAATACGAGAATAGAGTTAGTGCACGAATAGAGAAGACAACAATATCTGTAATAATTACAACTTACAGATTTAGTATTGACGTCAGCACCTCCCTCGACCAGTAATCTTACTAATTCTTCATTTCCTTGTTTGACAGCCCAGTGCAAAGCAGTCTGAAACAAACATGGCACACATATGACCAATGTTGATTGTTGAAAATATCGAGAGAAAATTTCATCAATAGATTCACATTGTCATTCAAGTATTATTACATGCAGATACTTACATACTAATAGATACAAAGGAACAAGATTGAACAATCATAAAAAAGAATAAAAAATAAAATTCAATATTTTATAGCAATTAAAACAAGAACAATTTTAGTATTTAAAAAATTGAATAATTTTTAGACACTTACACCCATGATGAAGTCCTAGGGATGGAAGGAAACCAAACAGAGATTAGTAACAAATCCAAATTCATAAATAATGTATAAAAAATTCATTGGATTCTTTCATATCACCTTAAATTTGACAATGCTGCGTTCTTCCTCAAGCTGACAAATTATTTCAGCCTTGTTTCCCGTCATGGAGGACATCATCCAACTTTTTTCAAATGGTGTAAGCTGTTTAAAATGATCAAATTTAATGTTAATAAAATAAGTCAACAGTTAATAAACTACAAGATGAGAGAGCTGACATTGCTGGAGGTTCTGAGAGGGGTAAACACCTCCTAACCACACCCCAAGACCCGCCTACAATACTTACCACATGAGATGGGACATCGTGTTCTACACAGAAAAAACAAACAAAATTTTATTATTGCCAATTGAACAAATTATGGAATGGAACAGATTGATTATATTCAAATTCTTACCATAATGATCATCTTCGTTAACACTAATTCCCTGGAAAAATAACAAAATATTAATTAGCATTCTCGGAACTTGCTTGCAGCTTTTAAGATCTTGGAAAAGAAATACTGTTGGTTTTCTCGTATAGAAATGATCTTAGGATGCTTACTGTATCTCCACTGTTCTGTGACATTCGATCGTATTCAGAATTTTTGGAGAAAGAACTTTGTCTCAAGCCTCTGGGTGATTCTGACTGCAAAGATGATACCTGGAAGATCATTTCAAACTTTATATTTAATAAATTTACTTGAAAACCCATGAATATAATGATTATTTATTGAACTAATCTATTTATACTGGATAACTCTATCAGTCCATAACTGGTCTTACTAGAGGTCCAGTAAAGGTCAACTCTTATTGATCCAGTGTCATTACAGGAGGATCGAAACCTAAACTAAACTAACTTTATTTGTACTGGATAGCTCTATCAGTTCTAAACTGTTCTTCATAGAGGTCCAGTAAGGGTCACCTCTTATTGATCCAGTGTTACTGCAGGAGGAAACCTAAACTAAACTAACTTTATTTATACTCTGGATAGGTCTATCAGTTCTAAACAGTTCTCCTCTGAGGTCCAGTAAGGATCATCTCTTATTGATCCAGTGTTATTATAGGAGGAAACCTGAACTAATTTTCATTTCCTTTTATTGCCCATATATTATAACATATAAATATTTACATTAAAAAAGAAATTGATTAATGTTATGGTAGGGGCCTACCAGAAACCTTAACAGGCTTTTATTTAAATTTTTTTTTTTTATTTTAATGCCTGTGTTGATAAAAACATTGCTTGTTTAAGCTCCTTCCTTAACTACTTACTGCAGTATCCACTCCACTGTCATTTGTTTGTCCACTTTCAACAATTGATGTATCACTGTTATTCCTTCTCATTCCACTATCATGTGAATCAGATCTGAACCCTGCTCGAACACGAGTGCCAGGGCTTGGGCGAGTTTTATTATCTCCAACCGCAAGATTCCCAGACGCATCTTCTGCAAGTTGTGAGAGATATTAGTACTAAGCTTCATTTTTGTGGTTATTTGACAGGACGGGAATTTGTACATATCTAGGGGAATTATCAAGATTTAAATCTCACTCGATCAATAGAACTGAAGGAAATTTCAAGCGGAAGCTTATACACAATTTTTAGACCTAACTAGGAACAGTTGCGGAAAGTTCAAGGCCGGAGTTTGGTGGAAATAGTGGGGGAAGTGGAAAAAATTTGGGGAGGTGCAGCAGTCTAACCCACAACCCCCATGGAAAGTTAGGGCCTAGAACGGGCCAAAGTCAATGATGTGACATATGCATGTAGTGTACTGTACATATGTATCAGTGTATTAATGAATTATGACAGTGTACAACTCATCCAATTTTGCCCTTCACTACAATTACTACAAAGTTTCTTTCAAAACATTGCATTAAAAGGGTCAAATTTCACCATAGGCCATGGTTGAGAGCCTCAACCATGGTTGAACTTATGCAGGTGCTCATGGTGCTATGGTCTAAATATTCTATTATATAGTCTTCTACTCAAAATTCCCATCTACAAAAAGCCTTCAACTGTTAGGGATTTTATACCTGCTGTTGAAAATCTGAAGTTTCGCATTGAAGCCGGCAAGGAAACTCCCTTGTCCTTGCGTTGGTTCACCTGCCGCATGGACCTTCGGTACAATACGGGTGTCGTGCCATTTCTAGCTTTCTTGAGTACAAAGTACTTTTCTCCCTAGTTGAGACAAGACAATGATCTATTAGACAACGAGATAATTTAGTTCTTTTAATAATTTGTCTCTATTTGAACGTGGCAAAACAGATCATGCGTGATGATAATATGGATGTGCTGGGTACTGCTTTGCCAGATAGTAGTCTGACTAATAATAGCCGGATACTGATGGTGGTATTTGGACAATACGTCACTAACTTTTTGTCATAAAATAGTCCATTGTCTGTTTAGTTAGTTTGTGGCACAAGGATCGTCAGATAATCTACAGTAGAGAGCAGTTTATATCACAAAAAAACTGAACTGTAATTTCGTTTTAATGTGTCACATGTCCAGTAGACTAGTTGTTTGTATTTCAGAATATCTGAACACAAAACAGACAGTTTTGTGCTTATAATAAAAGTTCCAGTACTATCCAGTAAATATCAGGCAGATTCTTACCGGATGTCTATATTTTGCCAGATATCAGTGTCCAGCACATCCATAGAAGATAAACTTTTTTATGTAGTGTATTCAGATAAACTTGTGTACATTGTCATATGAATAGCATTCTTTTATATCAACTTCATGTATAATTTGTTCAAAGTTTACGTTTCAACAAGTTTCATATGTCTGCAAAAAAAGGCTAATTGGCAAAGTCCAGCAATTTTTGTCTAGACAAAATATTGTTTAGAATTCAAAACAAAGCATTTCAAGCAATCATTCTATCTAGCAGACATCTGCACGATCAAACTATATTTTATATGAATATTTAATATAGGTGACATCCTTTTTGCATGTCAAAACAATTACAGAATTAGCCTTGAATACAATATGAATTAACTTTAAAGTTTACATGATACTTTTAAAACATGTAGAGCTATTATATACTGTACAAATGTACGTAATTAGCTAGTTAGGTATTAATTACTTATTCTTAAAAATATGTACAGTATATAAAGATATCAGATAAAACTACGAAACAGATTAATTTTCACATATTTTACACTCCGTTTAAACAAATTTCGGGCAATTATGTTGTCATGTCATCGGTTTTTGTTCACAATTTACCATCATAAGATCAACATTTTATATGCCAGCCATCTGATAAACATATTGGCGTTTCAATGTTGACAAAATGTCTACACATTAAGAAAACATATAAAACAGAATAGGACAAACCTCTATAGTTTGCAAAGAAGCCAAAGAATCGACGATGTCCCCGAAACGATTCTTGGATGTCCCTATAGAAAAATTGAAATAAGTAACAGCAAACTTCATAAAAGGGGCAAAAAAAGGGTATTTTTTAAAGAAAAGGTAAAGCTTTGTGTATTTGCTGGGGAATTACGAACCTTCATCGTCAAATTTATCCAATTGCCCGCGGAAATGGTCGAACAGATCGTTATGCTTCACTCTGCCTCCATTCTTGAGAAAATATTCGCGCACTGTAGAGGCCAATACCTCCTCATCGTTTGCCATTTACGGCCTAATAATACTTTAGCTATAAAGCTGTCTTCGTTCCAATGGTTGTCATGTTAAATATCGTCGCTAATGCTTCCTTTTTTTCTCCCAATATTGACATATTTTGATCTGATATTACGAAAGCCATTATTTTGTCTGCTTGTCTTCCGCTGCGGGAGGGAACGTTAAAGTGGCTCACTGAGGTTTTGTATTCGAGCCTACGGTCACCTCCGCAATTCTGCTTGGAAACTTCATTTTATTTTCCACATCAATACGATTACCGTCGTTTGCATCATAATTGAACTTGATGAACAATTGCAGACAAAGACATTATTGTCTATCTAGTCGTAGATTTGTAAGTTTCTTTTGTCTGCGACAGTTCATACGTACAGACAACGTTATTGTATTCAGATTTTTCAACGACTGTTGATATATTCATACTGTATTGTATGCAAATATCATATAGGAAACAAGCCCTTCTCTCTATAAGGGGGCAAATTTCCGGCAAAGGCAAAGTCTTCCCTCACCTACGATGATGGTCATACCCGGTTAAGTTAGAAATACAGATGCTGAGGCACCACCGGATTCGCTTGATCTTAACGCTTTACGACAATATGTCAAAATATGACCAAAACTGTTAAGGGGGAAATTTTTCTGATCGGCATATGTCGTAAAAAGCTAATCCGGTATCGCCTAATAGGAACAACACATTACACTACATTCTCTCAATTCAATTTATTTGCCAACGAATATAAGACTACTGCCACATAATGAAAAGTATTAATTTTCTCATCCTGGTAACTGCCAAGAGCCGGTTGTTCGAAAGCCGGTCAGGTTAACTTTCAAAGCAAATTATAAACAAAATGACATGAAGATGTTTTTCCAGTATTCTTGTCTGTTTCAATACAGGGTTCATACATGAGGAAGAGTGAAATTCAAGGACTTTTCAAGGACTAAATACTGACAAATCAGCAAATTCAAGGACTAAATACTGACAAAAAAGGGTTAGAAATCAGTAAAATCTGACGTTGAATTGTTCAAAACGCAACTTTAATGAGTTTCAAACAGCTTTGTCAGATATGAACATGCAAAATCAATTAAACAAAATGTCCGTTTTGAATGTCAAACAATTTTGGAAAATATCCAAAAACTAAAGCAAGAAAAATTTAAGGACTTTCAAGTACTTCTTTACAAATTCAAGGACATTCAAGGCCTTGAATTTTTGTTTTCAAATTCAAGGACATTCAAGGATTTTCAAGTTTTGTACGAACCCTGTCAATAGAAATTTTATTTTCCAAAGTCTTGAAATAAACAGAAGTGCAGATGTCCCCAACCCAAAGCAGCAGGTTAACGTTTAACCCAGGGTTAGCGCTTTGCCAGCTTTGAACAATCGGCCCCAGTCGACTTAGTCTGCGAACTTTCCGAGCAAACAATCAACTATGAGCGTGGGAAATGACGTCTGGGTTCACAGACTACAGTTGACTACGACCTCCGGTCCTCCTGGGGCCGGGTTGTATCAAGCCCGTTTAGCGTAAACGGTGGATAAGTCAAAATTAAATACCACTTTTTATCTCTCGTGAATCAGTTAACTTAAATATTGTGCATTGAATATGTAGTTTGGTTGTTGAATGAATCTATAGACTTGCTTTCTATTTCGAGCTTAACCACCGTTTAAACTAAACGGGCTTGATACAACCGCCCCCTGTACAACAATGCAATGCTTATTTCTAAAATCACCTATTAATATGACATCTCCAACTCTATATATATGTTGATTGTGTCTTATAAAACAGAACGGTATTTACAAGCAAACATTATCCACACTGCGCATGTCGATTCAGGGTAAGGATACACTCGAACACGTAATGCATGTCTGACGTGATCACCTTGACAACGTATTATCTCCTCGCATACCGGAGACCTGTCGAAATAAAGACAAATAGCAAAAGACAAGAGTCAGTAGAGTACTTCCAGTTTCACTCAGAAACACAGAAAGTGTTCAACTTCCTCCGGGTAAAAATTCAAGTTTTCAAACCTTCCTCAAAATAATGTGCACTATGGCTTTTTCAAATTGCAAAATTAAATTGTCGTTCAAAATTGGCTTCTTGTTCCTATTTCCTACAGAATATTTTTCAATTTGAAAATCACCAGATATCGACACTATCACAATAGTTGCCAGTCAGTCAAGTATCATTTATTTCTTTTATGGTCTTAGTGTAGAGTGTTCCACATTAAATCTTCCTCACTGACATCACATACGGTAAACCTTCCTCGCGGGTGCTACCCGAATACCCGCAGCTTCCTTGCAACTCTGCTCCACTAAACACCGTTTCTTCTGTTGTAGCACTGGGCCAATATGGGATGGAAAGTTTACTGAACTATCCAGTATAAATAAAGTTTATTTGAGCTCTTACCTTAAACATGTTCCCAGTGCTCGTCTGGGATTCATGTGGACAAACTGTATAGGAAATCCTTTAAACGTATGACCATCTGGTACATTCTTACGAATGGCGTGCTGGAACTCTTCATTGCCAACAGATAGTCCAGTCTGGTGTTCTAGTTCATACCCAGCCAGTGCAGGCGTCAGTAAATAACTCAGTTCATCGTCCCACACCGTACTCAAACCCATGTCCTACAAAGGAAAAGATGTTCACAGCATCAAAGGTGCAAAGTGACCTGGCTTATTTCTGGCTCAGGATTCTAGCACCCGCTGGTATTGTAGAAACTTTCAAACTTTTCCCAGTAGCCTGGTGGTTTGCACTATCAAAGTTTCTGAAATCACAGTAGGAATTTTGCATTGGTAAATTCCAAGTTTTGAAGGAATTGTAAGAAATATTTGACGGAACTCAGTGTTGAACATTAAGTCTTCAAAACTTAGAATTCTCACGATGAGCACAGAAACTTTGATCCTTTCCAGTACCTGTCTTAGGTCTTCGACAAGAGATCTTAAGCTGTACTCCAAGTGATTACTTGTGGTCGTTGCATCAATAGAAGATGGACATAGCGGTGGAAACACGGCTGCCGTCGGCTGAACAAAATAATAAAACTTGATTTGTAATTTGAACATTTTATTTCTTCTCAAAATAGGCAATGTTGGGAATTCTACAAAAATCCTACCAGTCCTAAGTTTCCGCAAACAGATCTTATTGCATCTTCGCTCATGGCTTTCCATAAAGACTTGTTTGGCAAATCAAACTGACATACATCCACCCGATCTGAGGGCTGACAATTAGCATAAAAAGCGCGGTGGTTAAAAATACATCCCACAGTCTGGTACGGGTGTTCGGGTTTAGGAAGTTGCTTGTTTAATGGAGGGTCGTCCGGATCAATAAAACGATGAATGTATCTAAAGAAATAAAATACAGTTTTTGGTTTCAGTAAAACGTTCAGAAGTTTCTCTTCCAGCAGAAGTTTCTCTTCTGGAACCATGCACCAATAACAGTTTAGAATCGATACAGTTATCCAGGACAAATAAAATTTAGGTTACAGCACTTGTGGTGTCGTCACCACGCTTGGCTTTCAAGCTGAGCAGGATTCGTACAGGTCAGGAAGAGTCAAATTCAAGGACTTTTCAAGGCCATGTATCAGCAAATTCAAGGACTAAATACTGAAGAAGGCATTAGAAATCAGCAAAATTTGACGTTGAATTGTTCAAAACGTAACTTTATAATGAGGTCAGATATGAACATGCAAAATCAGTTCAACAAAATGTCCGTCTTGAATGTCAAACAATTTCAGAAAATATCCAAAAACTAAAGCAAGAAGAATACAAGGACATTCAAGTACTTCTTTACAAATTCAAGGATATTCAAGGCCTTGAATTTTTGTTTTCAAATTCAAGGACATTCAAGGACTTTCAAGTCTTGTACGAACCCTGGCTGAGAGACCCGGGTTCAATCCATGGTCTTAAAATGTGCGAGGAGAAAAAGCCACCTTTACATTGACATTAGTAAATGGTTAGACTTTCGCGTCTTCTCATCATTAAAATGAGAAGTGAATAAACTACGTTATGGTTAAGAGGAGATTTTTTTGTATGTTACGTAACACGCGCTCAAAACTAATGCGTATAATATACCACTTGAGGTTATAACTAAATTCAAAATTTTTATTTTTCGATACGTTTCTCAATCGGCAAACAAACTTAAAAAGTTTGTTTAGTGCTTTATCTGTAAAATAATGCTAAAATGAAGAGATTTTAGATGATACGCCAAAAAGATAATTGTATTTTAATGGACCTTTCCCCTTATAACTAAAATTTTGATCTAGACAAGTCTAGACAAAAATTTCATCACAGCTTGAAAGAGCATCACAACATTAGTAATATTCCAAAGTTTCGTTGCGAAATGTTGTAAAATGCGGATTATATAGCCTTGCGAAGTTTGCAATTTTCAGTCATTTTAGATTACAAACGGGAAATTGATGCCCCAACGTACGCCCGATTGGGCTGTCAATTTCCCGTGCGTAATACAAAATCGGACTGAAAAACGGCAAATTTCGCAAGGCTATATTATCCGCATTTTACAACATTTCGTAACGAAACTTTGGAATATTACTAATTTTGTGATGTTCTTTCAAGCTGTGATGAAATTTTTGTCTAGATCAAAATTTTTGTTATAAAGGAAAAGGTCCATTGACAATTTTTAACTATTATTTTAATATGTTTCTCAACCGGCAGATGCATTTAAAAAGGTTGCTAACTGTATAAACTAGAGAATAAAGCTAAAACAAAGTAATTTTGAGAGGAAAGCCAAAACGATTTTAGGTTTTGAACACTTTTCATTGCAAATACGTGAAATTGAAAAAAATTGCCTCTTAATCCAAAACCATCATCCCCACCTTTGCGCAGTCAAACTTTCCCAGAATACGACTTCACCACTGGGACTTACGGTCGTTACCCAGCTGTGTGCCACGCCCTTGCCTTTCGTTCCTATGGTAACGTACGCATCAAGACCAAAGCCGAGAAGGAGATTGCATAATAAGATAACATGATCTTCACAGTCCTGAAGAATAAGGAGAAATATTTGAACCGGCAGAGGGAAGTTTCGTCAGAAAACGTTGGACTAGCGCCGTGATTGAACAACGACAATGTATGTTTTACAATTCTCCACAAATATGTGGAATTACTGCCATGTTGTTTCAATATTACTGAGTTTCAAACAGTTCTCTTTTTTTTTTGTGCCCAGAACAACATCGGTTGAACCGGTTTTCAAAAAACGTTGTTTTTTCTCTGTTTCGATTAACCGCCTCACGCTAGTAAAACCCACCCATAACCCGCCCTGCGCCTTCCCACAAATAATGAACCGTAATTACCCCTTTATTCTTGCATAAAAATGAATGCATGTTACACCACATTTCTGTGCGGCCTCCGCCGACATTTTCAGTCTTCTCGTAAGCAATTAAACTGACAAATCTCGCTGCTTCTCGCGCAGAATCAATTAGCCTGCCCGCTCTGATTGGCTTCACGAACGAACATGTTAGTCTATTGGTACCGGTTTCATCTTGGGCGAAAATTTTGACCAAACGATCAGAATGTTGAGGGCGAATCTGTAGGAATTCTCGCCACCATTGTTTTGCGTAAACTAAGAATAATCTTTCACGTTCAGCTATCTTGCCGTGTTCCAGATCTTCTTGCGTTCTAACCACGTCTTTCTGTAGGATCTAGATAAAACAGCAATGCCAGTACCGTTCAGAAACAACCAAACAAAACGTGTGATTAATATGCAATATCATCCGGCGAGCCTAAAGAGAGCAATTAACTGAACAGCCTCGATGCAGCCTTTAAACATGGGTGGCAAGAAATTGATTGTTTGCACACACTGCTGAGGGATGCTGCCATGCGAATCCAATGTTTAATGAACAAAAATACCTATTATTTACAATAAATGGATCTGTACAAATACTGCACTAGACTAATACCAATTATATAGTTAGCACTACTGCAACTACATTATAACTTAGGCACTTCCTGCCACTAGGATGGGTGGGACACAGGTAAGGCTAGCACAAGACAAGCAAAAAAAGTGACTCTGACAACCTGGACCCCACCCTTGACCCAGTCCCCCAGCAGTGCGCGAGAAAAAATATTCTGTCTCTTTCGTTCCACTGCCAGAAGAAAACAACACTTCAACTTTACATATAAACAATAGCACTTCAGGTCTTTCATACTTGACTTAATCTTGGAATAATTTCCAACTTCATCTCCAGAACACCAACAGGAACCTTGGCCTCAGTCCCCACTCCATTTATTTCAATCGAGTTCCGAAGGCAGCCGGTCTCTGCTGCCAAGATTGTCCTCCATTTCAAACTGTGTGAGCCAACCAAGTTTTTTTCACCACTTGGGTTTGTTTTAATAAGTAAAATATGTATTTGGTCAGGTACTGATAATAAATTCACAGCATCTGCTATCTTACTTCTGTCTTTTTGAAGTTCAAGTAAAAATCCTGAAATTAAACATCAAGGTGGCACAGTGGTCAGGTGTCTTTCACTTACAAGGCTTGGATCCTTTATTATGCAGTTATCTCATTATAATCTTGTCTTCAGGTGCTTGTCAGAGGAGTGCTTCCAGTATGATTCTACCAAACATGACAGGTCTTTTTTTCCTGTACATAGTAACTCTGGACCAATAACAACAATGTAGGCCAGTTGTGTGTTTGATTTACACAGTACAACTGAAGTTGTAGGCAGGTTGCATGCGACAGTTTTAGGCAAAAGTTGTGTAGTGTAAATCAGTCTTTAAGCCGGTTTTCCATAGGCAGAATTTTGCATGTGGAGCAGAATTTTTCATTGTCTTTTCTAATTAGTTGTCTTTTCCACTCGAGAAATCACAAGACAAAGAAAAATTCCGCTCCGTGTGCAAAATTCTGCCTAATGGAAAACCAGTTCAAGGGTGATGTGCCTTCAAAAAGATACATTACTTCACTACCTTCATGTATGTCAGGCTCACATGAACATGCCGCAGGTCGCGATCTAAACCTCTGGCCTTTAAAATGAAGATGTAAGGTAAACATTGATGTAGGTTGTCCTGGCAATGGTTCAGGTTCTTGAAGATGTTCCAAGAATGCTTTCCCACCCAACACTTGCAAGTAGAGATAACGTTTGGTTGGATCAAGACTTACTGCAAAAGTCCAGAAATAGATTTAAGTGAAATTTTACAGCAGATTGTCAAGTTATTTACTATTTGAAAATTTAATATTGACCTTTTGCATGTGTAGTATCATCGTTAGTTTTTTGTGCTGAATGATCTACGACCCTCTCCCTTTCACCTCCACCCTCCCTGCTACCGACTCCTTCAAATTTTAACGTCCTCATAACATCATTTATTACACCTCGTTCTCTGAGTATATTGAGAATGGCGTTTTCGTCGACTGCTCCACTCCTCGCGTCAGCTTCGGCGCCAAAAGAGTCATCTAAACAGCTTTTAATCTTTGAATGCACATCGGTTTGGTTAAGATGACTGTGTATTAATTGCTTCAGTTCGTTTACTTTCTCAGTTGGAAGGTTTGCCATGGTTGAAAGAAGGATTAAAACATCGAAAATAATAAATTTTGCAACGACATTTTGAAAGTTGACAAAGTGATCTTCAGAGAAGCTTCCACTTTTTCGTAAAACTTCACAAAGCGAACAAAAAGTTTCGGTTATTTCATTTGTATTTTGAACTATTTTCTTAATTTTTTTCTAATTAATTTCTGTGTTTTTTTTTGTATTTTACAAATTGGTTTCGATATCTTTACATACACAAAGCGAAAATATTATATTTATCTTATTTTTTGAAAGAAAATTCGTGATTGAAACATTCCAAATTAAGAATTTCCTAAACTTCCATCTTGACATTGAAAATTTCCCTTTCCTAACCACAAAGAGGAATTCGGAAAATAAACAAACAGTATTTCTCAAGTGCTCGCGCGAAAGTGGGGTGTAGGCGGCGTAGCAGTACAGACAGTACTAAGGAAGATTATCAAGAAACATTCTTTCAAAAATGCTGCCGACAAAATTTATAACGCCAGCTTCGCCAGCACTACACTGCCCTACGTGTGAGAATCTTTTCACGGACCCAGTCATATCGACTCGATGCGGCCATACCTTTTGTCGAATGTGCATCACGGAAAATATATCGTCTCGAGGGAATGTGTCAAATTCTGTATGTCCTGTGGATAATATACCTTTCCATCGTGCAGATTTGGTTTCAAATATCGCCTTAAAGGGGCAAATAGATGATTTAGAAATCCATTGTCAACATGGCTTGGATAGGGTGGACTCGGACGATGAATTTCATTTAGATGAAGAGGGGTGCCCCCAAGCCATCAAATTGGGGAAGAGGGTTGAACATGAAGAGAAGTGCCCGTACGCACTGGTGCCGTGCCCGAACAGCGCAAATCATTGTGGGAAGTTCCGTAGACGAGATCTTGACGGTCACTTGGAAACATGTCCACGGTACCCCTGCAAGTATCGGAATGAAGGTAAGGGCTCAGCCCCCCCCCCCCCCGCCTCCCTCAACCCACCGCAGAGGTTGGTCTTGAGAGGTGCAGGTATGGGGCTGTTGACATAATAGGGTACCCAATCACAGACTTGTTCTGCCATGGGGGTGAGGCTAGCAATAAAGAATTCACAAACACAAATATTAATTAAATTAACCTGCAGACACGTCCAGAAAGCACGTCACTTTGGCTATACATGCACAGTTAAAGCCTAACATTTCAATCACAAACCGAGGCTCTATTTGACTATAGCCAAGGTGACATGCTTTCCGTGTGTATTGTAGGACTATTTGACTATACCCCTAATAAATTACTGTATATATTAGTTACACTGTAGTTATCAAAATTTTTATATTGATGCAGGATTGACAGCAAAGTGCATTGGTAGACCAACTATGTACAAGGTCGGGCGGGGACAAAATACCCGGGGCCCAGAGGGGCCCGGAAATCTTTGTAAAATGTTTGTATATTGTTTATCATTGGCAATTTCCAGAGGGACGGGCCCGTGTTCACAAATCGTCATTTTGTCCTGGGGCCCGTGGTTGGCTCTCGCTGGCCTTGACTACGCACCAATCATGTAAAATCTACACCCCTCCTTGCTATCATAAGCATTGATCGTGAGGTCTGGCTTGCCATTGAAAATTTTAATCCTTAGAACGCATGGATAATTCCCCACTCTCTAATTTTTTGTATCATTGCCATTTTCAAAAAGGTTGTGAATTTTGTGGCACAGAGAAAGACGTGAAGGAACACATGGAAACTTGTGTAAATAAAATTTCTGTTGAAGAACAGGTTGGCTCACTTTGATTGTGTATACTTGGCAAGTTCAACTATTGACACTTGGGTGCAAGCATGTTAGAGTACATGTCATAACCTGCATTGCGCCAGACTTTGTTTTACTCTGTCAAATGACATGCAATTTTGGTGGTGCTCAATGGAATTACCACCATTATCTTGCTGTGATGCCTGCAGATTGACTATCACCTGCTGCACGATAGTAGTGAGTGAAATCCATCATTCTTTTAACATTTAGGACAGGCTTCCTCCACCCAATAATAATGACAGATTTTCAACAGGAGTGGAAAATGTCGTTGTCCAGTTAGTTCAGCGTGTTTCTTGGTTAGAACAAAATCAAGTGTCTATGGCTGAACAGTTACAACGATGCACTGAGTAAGTTTATATATAATAAAGCACACAATCTGTGAGTGTTTTAAATGGCTTAAAAAACAACCCATCTTATGAGTTCATTGGCAAAGTAATTTAAGAATCAATGTTGTCTAAGTCGGGAAAATCAAAGCTAAAGTTTATGTAAATTAACATGATTTTTTATCACATTTCTTTTCCACATGAATTACAGTATTAATGATTTTTTTAATTAAGAGTACCAAGTCACTTTACAGTATTTCAATTGTAGTTATTGATATTGACTCTTCCAGTGCCATATCCTCATTAGAGACAACCGTCGACAGGCTATCTCATCAATTTGAACGTATAGTTGGCAGTCAACTCAGTCGTCCTGTCCGTCACGCTGTGTCAACCTCATCCATTGTCGAGGGAAACTCTCTGGATATTGATGTGACTAAAAAACAGCGGTCACCAGTCTCTCCGAGGATTCGTAGTACAACCGAGGTTTTTGCACTGCCGTCAGTGCCGAGTGCCACACCCAGTAGTGAAATCTGGAGAATGCCCTTTATGTTCAAATGTCTGGGAACTTTGAGGTAAGGATTACATTGTGCAAAAATAATTGTATTCTCATTTTGCAGGTTGTTGCATCTCTGCCAACCAAAGCTTGTTAGTATTATTAATTGGCACTACCTACACTGGCACATACAGTTCAAGAAAACATTCAGTGTACTGCTCGTTACGTTGGGTGCGTGAGAATACATCCTTTCGGATTGATTAATTTACTGACACTTTGTGGACGTGTGTATTATATTGTATTCTACTTTTCAACTATTCTCTGCATTTAAACGACGAGCAATTATCCACTTGTTTCAAACAAAGGTAAGTCAAGGTGGACTTAAATTGGATCGCCAGCAAATCGCAACTCTTTTATTTTCAGAGGTCATCAAGAACCAATCTTTGCTATGACATGCCGTGGCGGTAAACTGTACAGTACAGGCAGGGATATGTTGATCAAAGTGTGGGATACAGAGGATGTGACGAGGGGATGTATAGCTACAATCAAAGGACACACTGAAGTTGTATGTCTGATACTATAAAGGTTCAGATTTCACTACCACTATGCCTCGCTGGCTTAGTACGCATCTGATTGGTTAATCGGATATATCAAACACATCTGATTGGTTAATGATCCCTGGTAGTGGTAGTCAAATCTGAACCTCTCTAATGGAGGGGTTTCGGTGGCGCAGTTATCAAAGCAAGCGCCTTTCACCTCCAGTCTCGCCACGGACTCACACGAAAAGAGTCGGTCAATGCTTTGCCAATTAAAGTCGTGGGTTTTCTCTGGGTGCTCCGGTTCCTCCCACAGGGAAAGTTGACAGGGTGGGTTAGGATAAACACAGTTAAGAAATTAATATCACAATTGTTGTAAAGATAAAATAGTCTACATGCGTAAAAATTGAGAAAATCAACAACTTGTTGCAAGTTGATATCGACAGGCATGAACAAGGTTGTGCGGCCCACTATGAACAGTATTGTCAACATGTTGTTACAGCATTGTTCAACTATAACAACTTGGAACCAGGGTGTTAGCCAGGCGGCCGTCCGACCGACGGCCACTTCTGCATTCGGACGGCTAAACTTTTATGGACGGCCATGGACGGCCAAAGGGAATATTTTCTTTAAATAGCAATTTACAAGCTTTGTAATATTTCTTGAATACTTCGAATTGTTGTCATCTGCTCTTTACCTTACATGGTATATGTTTTCATACTTTTTCCCGTCGAAAACACGTTGAATATGGCTGAATTGAAGTATCGACAGATGCGTGTGGATTGAAAAGTAAAAAGGTTCAACGAATAGAACACCACAATTCCACAACAACAAAAAATTGCGGCCACGCCCAAAAACATGTGACCACGCCCACAAAAATTATTTTGGACGGCCTCTTTTGAAATCCTGGCTAACACCCTGCTTGGAACAACATGGTTGACAACTTGTTCATAGTTGGCCGCACAACATTGTTCACACCTGTCGATATCAACTTGCAACAACCTGTGCATTTTTAGCCGTGTAGGTTAAGTATGTAATTAGGTAAGGGTAATACTTGATGTAAAGCGCATTTGATCACATTCACATGTAAATTGTGCTATAGAAATGCTAATGTTAATAAGGGTCATTATACCTTATTGGTCCAGTTCACTTACAGGAGATCTGGGGGAAATCTCTCAAACTCTCACATGCAACTGAGATGAAATTATGATCAGACAACTGCATATTGCAGGAATAAAACTCCCCAGTGAAACATACACCTCTTCATTTATCCCAATGTATTCCAGATTCATGCGATATGTTCCACTCGGACAATGTTATACACAACTGGCGCTGATAAGTCTCTTTGTTCCTGGAACATGAACTCTTTGTCGGAGCAAAAGCGTATTGCTGTAAGTGCCACGATCTATGTATTTCTATCCCTTGGTAAATATTGCACAAGTTTAAATTTTTTATAAATGTTTTAGGATGCGCATGATGACGTCATCTGTGCCCTGGTATGCACTGGAAAGTATCTGTTTACATCATCACAGTCTTGTATCAAGGTAAAAACTGTCGCATGCAACCTGCTTACAACTCGAGTTGTACTGTGTAAATCAAGCACACAACTCACCTACGACATTACAGGCCTTATGAATACGAGTAATTTTAGGTATGGGAAACAAAAACCTTAAAATTTGTTCATGCCATGGAAGTTGCTTTGAATCACTGGGTCCGAGCTCTGGCAGTTGATTATTCCAAGGTATTTAACATTGGTTAAATAGAGAATAATACATGGGTGCGCGGAAATACCAGATTTATTTCTCGTGTTGAACATGATATCTCACTCGTTCGCTGCGCTCACCATGTATTTTTCTGTTTATTATATCCAACCACCCATGTATTTTTCTGTTTATTATATAAAGGAAAGTCTTTGAAAAGCGATAATTTTTACAGAAAAGCGATAATTGAAAAGCGATAATTTTCACATGTGAGATTATCATGAATAATCTCACATGTGAGATTATCACTTTTATCAGTGCTGGAAATCTCTATAAAGCACTATACTTTATATAATAAATTACTTTTAATACTATCTTAATTTGTGTTTATTGCACAGTAATTTGATTGTCCTTTACTAGGAGAAAGTCTACAGTGGTTCCCACAATGCAATTCACGTGTGGGACGCTACTGGATCGTTTCAACTCGATGCTGAGATAGCACATGCCTATGGCTCCGTGTACTCTCTCGCAGTCACCAAGAAATATGTCATAGTTGGTATGTACTATTGGGTAGAAGAACTCTATATATTGAAGGAGAGAATATCTTCAATCGGACGCCTTGACCAGACTTAAAATTGTAACTCCACCATTTTTTGCCAGATGATTCAAACTATAATAAGTTTTTAGACGTTCTCTGGTTTTGGGCTTCATCGGGTGGATTGAGAGTGTGACCTTGTAATTCACAGTGGCGGCGCCAGGGGGGGGGCAAGGGGGGGCAAATGCCCCCCCAAAATTATTTTTTGCCCCCCCTCAAAAAAAATTATTAGTCACTAAGAGCGACTAAAGGCTACACAAGTGTTCTGTCGTTATCGGAAAATGTATGGCTTATAAGTTGTCATTACTCATTTGTGAATGCGCGTATACATGAAACTGTTTTTTATAGTTTCAATATTAGTTTGTAAATCTCTGAATGGTAAAACTTGCCAATACTCCAATAATACGTTTCAAAAAAAGACAAAAAAGCTTTAGTTTTGCCGAGTTAAATTCTCAAACGTGTAAGGCAATAATAAGATGAAAGTATCACGAAATTATTTGAATAAACCACATCGCATATATGGGGGGCGAATGTCTTAAAGAGGGGCGATATTCCTAGGGTATTCGCCCCACCCCCCTGGGAGGCGATATTCCTAGGATATTCGCCCCCGGGGGCGATATTCCTAGGAATATCGCCACGTTTTGAGGGGGGGGGGGGCGAATTTCCTGGGGGGGGCGACCTTTTTAAAAATTCGATCTTGCCCCCCCAAAATTTGAGTTTGCCCCTCAAATGCCCCCCCAAATTTGAAAGCCTGGCGCCGCCACTGGTAATTCACCCGTTGAGACTGCAGACTGGCAGTCGAAAGCTCGTAATAATATTTAAAAACCAGAGAACGTCTAAAAACTTATTATGAATAATCCTGGTTTCGCTTCAAACATATTTAAATGATTCAACCTGTTGGAAAATACTTTCCATATCAACTCAACTCAGTCTCAGAGTTTTGAAGGATAGTGCAATATTAATACTGCAAACTTTGGCACTATCTCTAATATAGTTTGCATAATTATCATGATAGTTTTGAATTATAGTTTTTCTTTAGTCTATTATATTTGATGTAATATTTGAAATCCGACTATGAGCAGTGGACTAGACTTCAAGTCCGCGCACTGAATTTGATCAAGTCCGAGGCGAGGCTGAGGACTGGGTCAAAATGCGAGGACTTGAAATCTAGTCCAGTCCGAATTGGAGGATTTGAAATGACATCTCATACGAATAAATCACTACTGAATTAGTAGACCTTTCCCCTTTTAAGTGAAATTTTGATCTAGACTAGCCTGGACTAAAATTTCATCACAGCTTGAAAGAGCATCACAAAATTAGTAATATTCCGAAGTTTCGTTGCGAAATGTTGTAAAATGCGGATAATATAGCCTTGCGAAGTACAAGTTTGCCGTTTTTCAGTCATTCTGTATTACAAACGGGAAATTGATAATCAGTTTGGTCATCTGATTATCAATTTCCCGTTTGTAATGCAAAATGACTGAAAAACGGCAAACTTCGCAAGGCTATATTATCCGCATTTTACAACATTTTGTAACGAAACTTCGGAATATTACTAATTTTGTGATGCTCTTTCAAGTTATGACGAGACTTTTGTCCAGACTTGTCTAGATCAAAATCTCACTTAAAAGGGGAAAGGTCTATTTTGATCCAGTCCAAGGACTGAATCAATGTACTCCACCAGGTATCCAGTATTATCATGTGAGCAAAATAAAGCAATATGGTCAGCTAATAATGCTAATTTACTCATGGATTATTGATTTGAGATTGCAACTGATCGTGCCAGATATCAAATTCATTTTAGTCGTGCTTCCCTTTTGTTGTAACAGGCACATACAATCGAAATACTCATATATTCGAGATTCCATCGTATCAGCATGTCAAGTCATTGACTGGACACATTGGAGCCGTTACCGTGGTAACCGCGTCACCTGCTGGTCGATATCTGTTCACTGCATCAAGTGATTCCACCGCTATGGTATGACATAATGGATGAATTGTAATATATTATGAGAGGCTGTGTTGTGGAAGATATACAAACGTTGTTTATGAATTTATATTAAGTATATCTTTTGTATTTTCTAGATCTGGGATTTAGAGAACATGCTCCCGATTCAAGTTTTAACTCGGCACGAAGCTGGAGTGAATTGTTTGGCTGTTTATGGCAATCTGGTTTTCACTGGCTCAGAGGATAAAGATATTAAGGTGATTACAGTATTTACCAAATCTGAACTATAGACTTGCAATTTTTATAAGTATTGTATTTGTTTTCTTGAGAAAGTCAAAACAAATTACGTTTTTTTGTTCGATGTTTTTATAGGTGTACAAGTATTTCAAGCTGTTCACTGCTACTGCAGACTAAGCTCAGAATGACTGCTTGTTGGATCAAGGCGGCGTGGACTTTGATATCGGGGAACTTAAAGTGCATATGACATGAAATTTCTTATTTTCTCAAATGAAAGAACTCTTTAAGTTGTAGTGTAACTTATTTTTCAGTTTCTTGTTTTTATGGTTTGTTCCCGAGATATTTCAGTTTGTTTGATATGTAAATGAGTGTGAATATGTCCGCTAATTTATGACGTCATGTTGGTTGCAAGCTCAACTTACACTGGTTATAAATGTATTAACTCTAAAAACTGTTGATATCAGTTCACGTTTTTCTCCAGTGTTTCATCACATTTACCAATGAGTGAAGTTTGAAATTATCATCTTGGATGATAGCAGTGATATTCAACCATTTTAAAGAGCTTGCAACCAACATGACGTCATAAATAAGAGGACATATTCACACTCATTTACATATCAAACAAATCGAAATATCTCGGGAACAAAACATAAAAACAAAGAAACTGAAAAATAAGTTACCTTACAGCTTAAAGAGTTCTTTCATTTAAGAAAATAAAAAATTTCATGTCATATGCACTTTAAATCGAATTAAATTAATAGTGTGCTGAATAAATATAAAGCCTGGTTTACACTCTCACATTTAAAGTTTTCTCAAACATTTCTTACAAAACCTTCAAAACTTAGAATTTACCAATGCAAAATTTCTATTGTGATCACAGAAACTTTGATAGTGTAAACCAGCGTTAATTTAAACGTGTATAGTGCGTGTATGGTGGGGGGGGGGGGGGCTAGTAGGGCTATAAGCCAAACCTCCCCACCCCAAATAAAAGTGTGGCCCAAAAATTTGTAATGTTGGACATTTTATGGAAGTTAGTCCCCCCCTGTTCCGCCGCCACTGTAAAGACTTAAAGTCCTGTGGGATTTTAATTATTAATTTATTTTCTTATAAATTTCACTGCATTGATAGCCATGGACGTCGCGCGTTCCCGTTCATCTAAGGTCTCGAACAAAACTGCTGTACTATGGAGTGAGAGAACATATAAGATACGAATGAAATTAATTTCGATACTGCTAACCAAGAAATTGTAATATTATAATGAATTATTTACCACAAAAATGTATTTTATAAGGCTATAAAAGCTATTTTTTATAAATAAAAATATTGCTATTTCTGCAACAAGTTTTCTAGTTTATCATTCTATTTCAAGGCATGTCTGAAGCGAAAGGGCCTGGAAAAGACAAATCATCAGGTTGTTTTTTTTGAGGAAATAAACCTCGTTCCCAGGCTCTTCCTTCCCCCTCATCGCTTACGGCGCGCTATCGAGGACAATTCGTTAGGACGCATAATAACGTAACCATACGAACTAAGAACCCATAACCATCATAAAACTAAGTTTGTCCAAACGGACTGAATGCATATCGAAAAGTATCTAGTGTAAAAACAACAAATAGGCAAACATTTGTTCAGCAGTGTTGTCTGGTTTCATCCAGTCAAGCAAGTGTCTTGGTTTCCCAGTAAGTCATTGACATTAGCAGGATGACTACCCTCGCTTTTCACCAAATTATTTGCAATTTCGGCCATGCGACACCAATCTTCAAAAGTAAATGAATTACTCGCCACAACGTGAGGTATACCCTCTTGAACTCTCTCGATCAAATCCCCCGCCGAGACAGGACTCTCGATTAGCGCCCATTCTTCTTTTCGCTCCTCGAGTTCGGTCCCTCTTAGGAGCATCAATGGAAAAGCTTTAATAACCGGAACGTTATGATCCAAACAAAACTGCACAGTTTCTTTAAAAGAATCAAGGGTCTGGTTAGGCAGCCCAAAGATTATCGACACCTCGTACAACAAATTCCGAGAATTTATATCATCTATGGAACTTTTAATTCGCTTCAATGGATTGCCTCGACGCACGGCTTTAGCTTCGTTGCTGTGAACTGTCTGCAGTCCAAATTCCAGCTGCACCAAGCCGGTCTCATTTAACTGTTCACACAAGTCCAGGTACTGTGGCTTGACCATTTCAAATCTAGATTGCAACGAGATTTTCCCAGGATATTTATTGCGTACAAAACGTCTTAAAACATCCAGATAAAACGGTCCAGAATTGAACGTGGGATCGAGAACTGCTAAGTCGTTAACATTATTCTCACAGAAAAAATCAATTTCATCCACTACTCTCTCGGGCAATAAATTTCTCCTTTTCAAATGATCGCCACTTTCTCGATGCTGGCAGAATGAACACATGAATGGACAACCTCGTTGGGTCTCCCATCGAATGAACGGTTGTGGTTTGATCAAACCAGAAAGATAAGGAGAGGCCAATTTGTTTAAGTCCACTTGACTTCGCCACCCTAAATCAGGATCGCCTCTATAATGGACACCTTTGATTGGTTTGTTTCTTTCTGACGTCATCAACGTGAACATTGCATCTTCAGCATAGCCTCTGATAAAGACGTCAGCAAAAGGATATTCGCGCTCAATCCCCGGAGGAGAATACGACACTTGTGGTCCTCCGACAATCACACGACCTGGGAAGCCAAGTTGCTTTAGAGATTCAGTTATATTTTGCACTGATATTTCATTCCAAATAAAAGCGCCGATACCAATATCGGTGTGCGGCAAGCTTCTCCCGAAAGACTTCAGAGTTTTCTCAATATCTCCGACGACTTGTGTCCAGCTGTAGGACGGAGAATTGACGCTGTATTCCAGTGACGAAACGTTTACGCCCTTTTTCACCAGATTGGCGAGGATAGAGGCATGACCTAGGGAAAGTGGAGGATCTTTTGGTCGTGTCCAATCAAGGGACACTAGAATAAGCCTGCGCCAAAGCATCAAAGGATCTGTGAACACAGATAAGAATGCCAAGATTAAAGCCCAGGTCACACTACACAACGATACAATAACTTGTAAACACGCGATGACTGGTCAAAAAAATTATGTTGGTGTCCACACTACAACGAAAATGATATAATTATCGTTTGACGATAACGATTTTAAAATCGCTCACCCGAGTGATTTTTTTTTCAGTCGGACGATAATGATAAATTTTTTGAGCAATGTGAACCAGTGTTAATTTAGGCCTCCTCGAGTGCCGAGAACCCTACCTGAGCTTTTTTCCAGCAAAAATCTCGAGCTCCCATACCTGAGATTAGGATGCTCCCAGCTCGCAATTAAATATGTCTTTATGCCCCTCTTTATATACTGCTTCGTTTTATTTAGCCATGTAAGCTCAATTTCAAGTATTAATTAAAGAGACCCTTGAAAGTTGTGACAAGCTAATCCGGTATCGTGTAATGCGGCTCCGTACTCCGCGTTTTCTATCATGTCATATAATATCTTGCTCTAATATTACCCAGAACTCAGCCGCCTAATTCCAAGAACTACAACACACACGCTCGAATGAATCGTGGATCGCCAAGCGGCAAGATTCCAGTCAGTTGCACATTATTACCATGCACTGCATGCTTATGTCTACACTTACTGCAAGCTTGCAGTGGAGAAATCTTGCAAAATAGCTCAAAAGAGTTAGTGTCGTCAACCCCCAATGTTGTGCTAACTACCGAATATACGTTGAGTTTCATTTCAGAAAGTAAACTGAATAAAAAAGACATGCATATTAACTCGAATGCAAAAGTCATCCCAAAATATCTATGTTGAATATGCCTACATTTCCATCTGTTACTGTGCTATACAATTTTATAACATATTTCAAAGTTTAAAAAATTTAAACTAGGTCTAGGATCAGCCGCCGGCTCGCCACTCTATATCAGTATATGTTATTTTCACATTCAAATCAAATCGCATTTTGAGGTCAACTAGCTGTTCGAAGTTAGGGCAATTTGCACATTAAAATTGAAGCGTGAATGAGCTCGACTTCGTATAGATTCTTAAGATCGATTTACACCACACAACTTTTGCCTAAAACTGTCGCATGCAACCTGCTTACAACTTGAGTTGTACTGTGTAAATCAAACACACAACTTGCCTACGTTGATGTAAGTGAGTTATGTGCTTGATTTACACAGTACAACTCAAGTTGTAAGCAGGTTGTATGTGACAGTTTTAGGCAAAAGTTGTGTAGTGCAAATCGGCCTATATACTAATATAAGTGTGTCGATCGTCAGCCCGAAAAGCGTACGTGCAGAAAACGGCAACTGAATATATACGATTTTCTCTTCTCTACGAGTATGCTGGCAATATAAAGATGAAGTCATCCCTGTATAGATATATGAACAAGTCTGTGCCTGTTGGCGATTTAGCATAATTAAAGTTAAAAAAAGTAAAGGTCGGATTAGCTGTGATTTCATGTCACCCAAAGTACTTTCAGTTTTGAAAATCGAAACTAACCTGGGTCCGCTTCTCCGTTATTTCTTTCATTTTCAAGCACGAGGTCTTTATACCCTTACTCATTACTCATTGGTAGCAAAGATCGTGAAAAACCCACTTGTTACAGACGTTTTTATAAATGCTATTGACTGATTTACCGATTTTGTGAAATAATATTTCTCCGAGTAGTTGGTATATATCGAGGTATACCACAATAAATTTAATATTTATAAAACAATATCAATGCAAATGAGATTGGACTCGGAATCTCGGATTACTATTTACATGCAGTAACCATGGTGACTGTAAAAATTAAACCGCAAACTCATTAATAATTCATGAGCAAATTAGCCAACCGTACTGCTTTATTTTGCTCAGATGACAATACTGGATACCTGATGAAGTATACTGATCCAGTCCTAGGACTGACTGGATCAAAGTTAATTCACCTCACTTCAAGGAGTGATTTATTCGTATGAGATGTCATTTCAAATCCTCCAATTCGGACTGGACTGGATTCCTCGCATTTTGATCCAGTCCTCGGCTTCGCCTTGGACGTGATCAAATCGCGCAGACTTGAAATCTAGTCCAGTCCTCATAGTCGAATTTGAAATATTACTTGAAATAATAATTAATAATTCATGAAGAAAACAGAAAAGAAATCATGAACGTGAAGGAGTTTGTATATCTGGTACAGAAATCATGCTGACTTACATAAACTTTAAATATTCCAAATATCATTAATTTATTTTAAATTGTTGAAGAACTCGCGGACCATGTTGTATCGGATATACAAACTCTCACCTTCCCCTTCGACTCGAGTTTGTATATCCGATATGCGGATCATATACAACATTAATTAACCCGAGATCAGAGCGCCTGATCGCAGAACACAACCGCGCTTAGGTTGTAAATAGTATTTTTATATATCTGGGGCCGGTTGTATAAAACTCTTAATTAATCACTATTTTGTAGTTAAATAGTGATTAACTCTCAAATACGCGCTTCTTATTAGATGACGTTTCCCGACTAACTATAGTTAACTTTAATCACTTTTTTTATACAACCGGGCCCTGTTTTTAACCCTGCCCTCTCATACTTTATATCAATTTACTATTTTATATAGTTTTAACACAACTTATTTCATATTTTGTTAGTAAACTCATTTCTAATTGTTCGCAGTGTATCTGCAAGCCTATACCTACTATCTGGCCAAATTCACCCTCAACCACATTAAGAACTGCATTGTACATACCGTCCTGAAGCCAACTATACCTTCCAAAACACGTTCCTATTTTCCATCCTTGAAAAAGTCCAGTCCTGTCAGTTCTGCGGGTAAATACTCCTGGTCAACAGGTTCATCATAGTCCGGGTTATATTTGTACCCTTTGGAATAACCAAGATCTTTCATAAGTTTGGTAGGAGCATTTCGTATGTGGAACGGGACACCGGGTAATGTTCCCTCGTACGATTTGAGATGTTGTACTACTCTGTCATATGCCTTGTATACTTCAACTGATTTCGGAGCTCTGGCTAAATACACCGCTGCTTGCGCTAGAATAACCTTGACAAAATAAGAAATCATTTGAAGGACGTGTTTTGTGAACACACGTAAAATTCTCACAATTTATCAACAAGATATGTTCGCAACAGGTTTGTAGCAAACTTGTCAGTGTTTAATTTCATCTTTTTCAGGTAGTTCCGCTGTGGAATGCCAGGTCTACTTACGTCACATTCAGGTCGACCAATGAAATGACAGGCTTGAAATGCTGATACAGCTTGGTTTAAAGCCAGCGGGTCTGCAAGACCTACAGAAATGTCAATATACTTCGAGAAAACAGTTTATCCCTACAGGGATCATCTCAACATCATTCCCAAACTGAGTGTTCTCCCTAGACGCCCAGTAAGAGCAATCCCCTACTTGGTACCGACGGTGCACGAAGTACCAGGGGCGCATCTACCGGTGGGATGCAGGGGGTGCACACCACACCTAGTGGTTCTATAGCCAAGATTGAGCACTTTCCGGAAGGGTGTATTGCAATCAGACAACTACATATTGCAGAATTATCGAGCTCACCTCCCAGACGTGAAAAAAACACTTATTATAACCACTATGTCACTAACACAGCTACTTGCACCCACCTATATCCTCACTCGCCATGCGCACCAACCTCCTTGCAATATACATGGGATCCTCTCCTCCCACCAACATTCTTCCTAACCAATACAACGCCGCATTTTCATCGCCACCTCGCACAGACTTGTGTAACGCCGAAATAATATTATAATGTTCCTCTCCATTGCGATCATACGACACATGAGAACGTTGAAAGCTTTCTTTTATATCATCTGTCGTGACTATTGGCACGAAACTGGTTGAATCATTCATTTGCGAGTTTAGTTTTGACTGTACTGCCATTTCCAAACCATTTAACGCATTTCTCGCATCACCATCGCACAAGTTTCCTAGCATACGTAACGAGTTCTTCTCCACAATAACCTTCGCGTCCTTGCTTTATAAAAAATCCAAATTTTGGTAAAAATATTTTGGCGTTGATCACTGTATGAACTTTAAAAATGCATTAATAATTCATGAGGGAAAGACAAAGGAAATTACTGCCGTGTCTGTGGTCTTATATGTGATAAAAAATCATGTTCATTTACATAATCTTTACTGAGCTTTGATTTTCTCCGCTTAAACAACGTTGATTTTCAAAATTACTTCGCCAATGAACTCATAAGGTGGGTCGATTTTTAAGTACTATTTAAAAAACGAGCAGGAGTGTTTTATTAGGTTTAAAGTTTGGCTTCAATAAGTCAAATCTTTATATAAAAATCTTTATATAAAAATCGTTATATAAAAATCTTTATATAGTTTGCATAACAATGCAATGCCAATGGTCTTTTGTTAAAGTGTTCTTTAGCTGGTATAAAGACGTATGCACGCGACTAATTTCTTACTCAAGATTGGATAATTGCTTCATGAATTATTAATGAGTTTTTGAAGCGTTTTAAAACACTTGTAGTCCAGGCTTTATCAGGTATAAAACACTTGGCTGTCACCTCGTGTTAAAAGTACGCCTGCTCGTGTTTTAAGGAACACAAATATTGTGACATTAATGCTTTCATTAGCCTGTGGTAAAGTTATATAGATATGGCAATTACCTATCACTTCCATTATTCAAAGGACGGACATCTTCACACACTACACCTCCAAGGGCTTTGACGGCAGTTTCAAGTATGGTCATAAGCTCAGCTGTTGACAACTTCTCAAGCACAATAACCCGACATCTGCTCAGTAACGCTGAATTAACATGGAATGAGGGGTTTTCTGTTGTTGCACCAATCATCGTGATTGTACCATTTTCAACATGGGGAAGAAATGTATCCTGGAATATATTAGGGAACAGGGTGAGTCAGTGTTGCTCACAAGTAGGGTGCTACTGTCAACCGAGGCAGGGTGAAGTGAGGGAGCTATATATGGCTTTTTCTACTGCCCCATATCACTAGCTGGAGCCAAGGTGGTATGGTGTGAGGCCTGGGACAGCAGAAAAACATGACTGCAAGGGGAGCAGATTCCTGTGGTGAGGAACTTTTCAACAGGTTCATAAATTTTGATATTCCCATCCTGACAGACCCCCCTGCAATATTTTTTTGGAAAAGTTACACACCCTGCCACCCCCCTGTTGACAATATTTTTGGGAAACAGGACTTTTTAATGGAAAACATCTTGATCAGATAACACCAGGAACATGCAATCACACCATGAGCACTTCACAACATTCAGATTGGTAACATTATTACTACACTTGGTTCAAGACCATCTCAGGAGAAAAGTAGGGGGACGGACTTGGAACATTTGCAGCATTTTGAATGTTACTTGCAACAATTGGTGCGAAAATTTGTTGTTGTCAACTCGCAAGCCACATACGCCTCCATAGGAAAAATCCAACTGTAAATTTTGGGGCGCTTGCAAATGTCCCAAGTCTGTATCTCTCTACTTTTCTCTCATATTTCTTTGCCTACATTATTACACACCTGTTGCATTTTATTAAAACGATGTATTTCATCAACGAACAATATTGTTTTGCGTTTAAACAAACTTTGTTCATTCTTTGCAATCTTAATGACCTCCTTCACCTCAGCCACGCCCGACATGGTTGCAGACAGTTTAACGAACCTCATTGCACTTGCTCGTTTTGTGTTGTTTGCGATGATGTTTGCCAATGTTGTCTACCAGAGTCAAAATTCAGAATTTTGTCAAAACCACATGTGATCTACCTCCTCCACAGGCCTTTCATGAATTTGGGAGGCAAAAATTTTGGGTGGGTGAAAATTGGTGGGAACAAGCCTTCGTCTCAGATTTCAAATTTTAACCTCCAAACAGGCATACTCATTACGGGCCGTATGATCTGCGGACAGGGCTGTAACTAGACGCAATAATTGGGGGATGGGGGTGTATATTCATATATTCATGTTCACATACTGTAAAAACAATTGCTTTCAAAAGAAATCTGTCGGGCAGAACACAAACAGTGGCGTAGCCAGAACGATAATTGGGGGGGGGGGGCATATTCATATACTCGTGTTCAGCTGCTTTATTAATTTCTTTTGAAATCAATTGTTTTTATGGTATGTGAACACGAATATATGAATATGCACCCCCCCCAATTATCGCGTCTAGGAACAGCCCTGCCTGCGGAGGAGGTAGACATGTGACTGCACGGCACGGAGAGTCACATTTTCAAAACAATGAAAAACAAGGGAACATTCTAAACATGGATCATGACTGGATGGTACTATTGTTATACTAGGTGTAGCCTGCATAGTGGTGCTAGGGTGAGTGGAAAAAGGGGAGGGGTCCACTCCCCTTCCCCCCCAGTGCTGCTACACAGGTGTTATGCAACAGACCCCTTGCCTTCCCCTCTCTATCATATTCCAAGGGACCCAGAGGCATGCTGCTCCAACATTCCCAAAAGAACACAAATATATACACATATAAAACACCTTGCCGCAGCCTGGTGGACCCCAGAATATCATTGATGGAATCTCATCTGCTTCCAACAATTTCTTAAGCATCGACTTATCACCAAGAATTTGTGTTTGACCAACATATTCCTCAAGTGTTCGAGGTCGCAGTTTTTCAGCCAGTGGCACAAACTTGTCCCTCTTTGCCTTGGGCCCATTTGTTTCTTCTTGGGGATTTTGTTTTGCCGTGGTTTGGTATTGTTGGCCATTCTGTTTTAAAACTGATGTAGTTCGAATATTTTCCATCTTTGCTCTCTTGAAAGGCGGGCTGGTAAACGAGCAAGCTGATTTGTTCTTCCTGCTGTCTACAGACTCTGGACTTTTAGACAATTTCTTACCAACAACAAAAGAAGATGACTTCATATTCTTCCTGCTTTGTGCCAATTCTGGACTTTTAGAAAGCTTATTTACAGAACTGGCAATGTTTTGATTAGCTTCTTTCTCGACTGATGAACGTAAAAGACAATCCTCGATATGCTGGTTGATCGTCCAATTCACAAAAGAGCGAGAGCAAACAGGGCATTTAACCAACGTTGTAGTTTGTGCCATATTTGTTTGTAAATGGTTCAATGAAACACTTCTCGGAAACTTTTAACAGTAACGTGCTTTTAGGCTTTTTAAATTGTTTTTGTGCAAAAATGTTTCTGTACGTTTTCCCGCGCTTTACGAGATAGCTAAGAATTCCTTAGATTATCAATAAAAAATTCCTCAGATTCAGTAAAATTTCCTGAATTTCCCTGGGGTTCTCTGACTTATTTTCTCATTTGGGAATTGGAAATTTCTTTGGACAATGCTGCACCAGATCCGCATCATAGGTAAAAGCCTAAAATTCCTTAGAAATTTTTTAAAAAATTAATTTCCTCACAGCAAAAATATCTTTAGGGGTCCAATGATACCCATCTCAATGATATCCATGTTTCATCAAGAGTAACGGCTGTACACAGGATCGTGAGGGGTTGCTGTGTGCATTTCTAGTTCGAAAGTAATACTCGAAGTTACTATCATATGTAGAGTACTGCCTTGAGAAAGAAAATTACAGGAAATTAGGAGATTACATGAGGTTTCCATGTGTCATCACCCCACACCCTGCCCCCAGATACCTTAGAACCTCACTCAATGTCATATTAAATAGATTCAAAAATTACTTTTATTTAATACTATTACAATTATATTGTTTTCCTAAAAATGCACTATTTTATGGATATCATTGAGATATCAAGTGATTGTCTGAAATTCAGGCTACTCTGGTTATGGCCACTTATTAGAAATAATAAAAAAGTCATTATAATTTTATGACCTCAGATCAGCAATAAAGATGTCACAAAATGAATGGAATGAGGGCCTTTCGATTCTTGGGGTAGTCCTCAAACTTCTCTTGGTAAAATCTGATAAAAATAAAACAAACTAGTTAGCAAGCAACCATGTGCAGATGTGCTACAAAACACTCACAAGATAAGTTGTGCTTAAAACATTGTGTCGTACCTGTGGTGGTGACAAGCACGAGTGCCAATTACAACCAAAGTGTTGAAGAAAAATGCAAACGCCACAAATGACGAGGATGCCAACCAGTAGCCTCCCCATTCCACAATTTCACCAAAGAAGTTTGGACAAGAAATATACTCAAATAGGCCTCCTAGATAGTGGAAAACGTGCATTACATATACAATATGTGTCGTTCTATGTGGTTGCCAATCGTGAAGCAGTTTAATTTAACTGTGTTGGTTTTTTTACCAACAATTCACATTTAATGGGTGCATTTCAATTATTGTTGTCAGAGTGAGATAACATCATGCGAATTCTTTTCATATTATAATTATTGTATAGTTGTCATGAATTTGGAAGTATTGATAGAATTAGGAGGTGTAGTTTCATTTCCTTCGTAGATACATTGGGTACAACAGGGGTACCCACTTCCTTATCAAATCCATGTTTGGAATTGAAGTCAATTACAACAAAACAATAGCGACAAATGAGATAGTAACATGATTGTGAAATTGTCATGCAAGACTACAGACTAGTGCCTTGCTTCTGCAGAGCTCTCCCTCTATTGACGATGCAATACTTATGATGCCCATGACAATGACCAAAGGTCAATGAACACCACCTTAGAACCATCAACCATCCGGATCCCTGATTTCTTTGCTTGTAACTAGCAGTTTTGAAGTTAACCAGCATCTGCTGCCCTGCTTACTCATAGCTTGGCATATATTACCTCGTGGTATTTTATGTCCCGTTTCTCCAGGTTTTCGAAGATGTGTCAGGAAGTAATCTGAATGTACGTTGATGACAAAACCAAGCAGAAATAAAAAACTTCCAAACACAAATTGCAAACTATGGAACCATTCTTTAGGGTAGCGACGGACATGCAAGTGATACTGTCCTTGCATATAGCCATTGATTGTGCAAACAACAAAGCCAGGCAAGAACGTATAGAATGGCGAGGGAGCTGTCTTCCTTATCCACAATGGGTAGATGAAAGATCTGAAAAATTTAGTAAAAAATTTAGTTTGCCTTCATTTCCACACAACTGCTCATGCACAGAAACTTGGTCAAATTTCCTCGTGCAAAAATACTTTCCTGTCTAGCTAATTACCTTCTAAAGTAATGAATCATAAACATAAGAAGTAGAACAACATTTGGCGAGACATCCAATGACACAATTTCTCTCATACCATCTGAGATCAAAAACATCGCAAATGGGACCAAAAATGATGGACACTCTTGCAACACCCATGCAAGCCGTGCATTAACACCAAACTTCAGATTGTAGGGACTGTATCGACCATAAGGTAAGGTCATACAAAATGAAGTAATAAAAACAAACACGGCCAGGCCAATTATTAACCATGCACAAAAATGTAGCTGGTCTTCGTTAAAATTTGGTACCATTTTGGCCAACCACTGCAAGTCTTTACCGCCCCCCCCCTTCCCCCCCCCCCTTACCATAACTATGTTTATGATTCATTACTTTAGAGGGTAATTAGCTACACAGGAAAGTATTTTTGCACGAGGAAATTTGACCAAGTTTCTGTGCAGCAGTTGTGTGGAAAGGAAGGCAGAATAAAATTGGGCGCCTTTCAGCCTTCGGTAAATGCTCGGAATGACTTCGGAAACAATCGTTACTCCGTGTGTGAACTGAAAGCAAGATGGCGACGCCTCCGGGTAAGATTTGATTGTTTTCATTAAATAAAACTTCAATTTTCAAACCTTTCTTGCATCAGTTAGGCTTTAATATTTCGTTCAGAACTAGTTTAATATTTCCTCTAGTAAAACCCACGTTTATAGCTATCTTTGTGCATTTTAAGTAACTTTTTTTTACCGATTTTTATACAGTAATCGTACCACGGAATTTCAGACTTCTGGAAGAGCTCGAAGAAGGACAGAAAGGCGGAGATGGCATGGTCAGCTGGGGTTTGGAACGTGATGATGATATTGAATTAATTCAATGGACTGGTATGATAATTGGGCCTCCACGGGTAAGACAGCGTAGAGTTCAGTTTAGTTTTGCACACAGCATTTTATACAATAAAAAACACGTACACAGTGCAAAAATAAATATGCTCGCGGATTTTCAATTTCCTTTGTGTTGTCCTGACATGCTTATAAAAACAGTCAAAAGTATAGGGAATACAGTTGTTATTGATGGATTTAAGCATATAAAAGTTTGTATATTTAATATTTTGGATGTGAGAATGATATTTTACAAAATACTGGATACATGCAGAACATTGGGGATATGTAGCAGGTGGTTGTAACAATTGTACATTACAGGTCTAGGCCATTAATAGTAGTGGCAGATACATCTCAAAATATTGAGGAAGGACAGCATTTAGGTTGCCCTAGTGTGCTGTATTTTACAAATAAAGCATCCAGTTGCTTTCCACCCATAGTAAAGTATATATTTACTATCCAGTCAAAATGTCCCCGGCAAAATGTCAATTTCACACAATAACAACAATCCAATTGTAGTTAATAATAGAACTGCTAAATAGATTATGAACAATAGTATAATCTAATTAGCAATAACCAATCAAAAATCAGATTAAATTTTTTTATCTGATAGACCAATCAGGAAAAGCCAAGATTGCCTTGACTGTAATTTCTTGTATGTTGCCAATTCAGTGCAATGTTGCCTGTGGCATTTATCCTAACAGGGCCTTGATCTAACTTTAGACGGTGTTTGATGGACGGATTTATAGCTTGTCCATTAAGTGTGGCAACAAATATCCTGACGTTAAACCAGAAATCAGATTTATAACCCGAATCAACATGGTTGGTGTGGACAAGAACACGGGAGTGGTAAGTTCATTTTTATAAATTCTTGTAGTTTTTAAGGCACTACTTACACAGGCACAGACAGTTATATCACTTAAAGAGTGCTGTTCAGGGTCTTAGCTAGAAGGCCGTGTTGGCCGTGTTATCACGGCCAAAAATGGAAAAACACGGCTAGATAAAATGAACGCGGCTTCACTATTTATATAAGGCCGTGTCGGTTCATAAAATAAGGTGTTGCTACTTACAACAGACAGAATTTCTTCCTATTTACATCGTAAGAAAGTTTGTAAAATCTACAGTTGTTGTTGAAATTGGAAAAAGTGATCCGTGATGTTTTAATGTTTTGATGGATAATGGGAACCATATGCATGGTGTTAAGTACTCATGTTTAATAAACGAGCATGCAGGAGTCGCTTTAGACCTAATAAAACACGACCTGCGAGTTTATTTGAACGGCTTCAAACACGACAACAAATTCAATAGATATACTGCCTTATTAGTATTCTTTATATAAAGAATACTAATGAGAACACGACTACAATAGATACTGCCTTATTATAGTATTCTTTATATAAAGAATACTAATTAGGAGTGTTTTATAAGGTTTAAAGCCACTGCACGTGACATATTATGGTTGACATGATTTGCCAATAAGCTTATGAATTATTAATGATGTTTGAAAATGGTTTTAAATATACCCAAGAGTTGCTGAAATAACTTAATAATTTAATGATTTAATGTCAGTGTGAAATATGAGCGTATGCTCGCCTTGTATTTGGTTCCAAAGCATAGAACAACCACAGATATAACTAGAACCGTGAATTTGGCTATTCAAGGTAATTGAAATGTGCACACCCTGGTCATTTAGAAACACGCCCAAGATCTAAAATCCTAGCTAAGACCCTGGTGCTGTTGTAGCCCTTTGAATGTCGGTTGTTTGAATATAATGATGAAGAGCCGGTAAAAACAATCTTTCGTTGCTAGGGATGTAACTACCTCTAAAAATATAAGGAGAATTCCGAGCAAAGGCCCTTGAGCGAAGGACTCCAGACGAAGGGCCTTTCGCTCAAAACTTCGAAATTCTCCTTATATTTTCAGGTAGTTGCATCCCTACCAATGAAAGCTTGTTAGGGACCCGTCATTATTTATGGTGGGGGGTGGCACCGAAGAGAAAAGGGTTGGGTAAACAAAATTTGAGTTAGTCAAAGGTTGGGTAAATGAAAAACAAAACAACTCAAGGGTTGGGTAGTCATTTCCAAAGCATGACTCACTGAAATTTTGGAGACTGAAATGCAATGTCAACAGTGATATGTCAATACAATATGTGAATCAATCAGAGTCATTATCTTGATCATTTCAGTCCGATTTGTTGCAGACAACATGAAACTTTAGAAAATTTCAGAAGCATGCGTCATCAAACTCATGTCACAAAAATGGTAAAGGGCATGTGTGACAAATGAATGGTTTTCACTTTGTAAAGGTTTTGGCCAGGGGTGGGTATTTATTTTTTAATTGATATTTGAGGTTGGGTAATCAAATTTTTGACTTTTTAATGGTTGGGTCAGCAAACTTTTTGCCACAAAAAACATTTCTCTTCGGTGCCACCCCCCACCATAAATAATGACCAGTCCCTTAATACTTTTGGCATCAAATCTATCTTATCCTAGGTCTACAATATTCCCATGCTGAATAACTGGAAAAGAAATTGTACAATGAAATCACTTTTAACAGAACTTCGAAGGTACTGTACTGAAATAAATCTAGAATTAAATGCCTGCCATTAAGTAGATTGCCAGGTTTTTGGTTTACAGCATGTAAAGAGAGTGCTGCCACTCAATGGGTTAGTGTATTCTTGGGTTTCATATGACGTCACAAAAGTGACAGGGGGCCAACTCTAAAACAAAACACAGTAATCAGATTGAGTAGATTGTTCATTTTGTGTATTAGCCTTGTGTTTGGTGGCAAATAAGTGGATTTTCATATCATTTTCTCACTCCAGTACAGCATAAATACATTTGAGGTTGACACCCCGTCAGATTTACTGAATGTTGTAGTGAAACCTAAGAATTACGGAATGTATCAATGTTTTTCATTAATTTTCTTTGAACATTACAGATTAATGACACAAAAAGAAAACATGAAAACAGCTCAGCCAGTGGAGGGATCAACTTTTCCTGACGCAAAATAAGTGAACATTGAGAAGATGTTGCAAAACATTGACAGTCAGAGTCTGGAAATGAACTGCAATTTTGCATGCTTTGATTATTTGAACATTTGTATCAGGAGTGCTATGAATGTAGATAGCCAGGTTGTGTAACGAGGCAACATTATGATTGTTTTTGAAACTTGTTAACTGTGTTATAATTAAGGGCAAGTAGTGTTTTTTAAGAAATAAGCTTCAACATGAACTAAAACTTATAGTTAGTTTGTTAGTAAACATTAGACACAAATAGACTACCTCCTACCTCTTTAAAGCTTGGTTTAAATTTGGTTGCAATGGCTGTGAGCAAGTCATGGATCTTGTCTTTTGTATGCTGTATGAGAGTCTGTTTACTGACAGCAGAGTTACATGAACACACCAGTACATTGGTCATGACAGTCCCAAACAATTGGCAACCATGCTTTACCAAGCTTTACATAATTCCTCTTTCACTCCTGGGTCAAACCAAAAGTGATTTACTTTTATCCAGTGAGTCAGTGATGGCAGTTCTTTCCAACAGTTTCTTGTGTCTATTGTAGTATTAGTTGAATATTAAAGATCTCACACCCAAAAAATAATTGATTAAACTTTCAGTATTTTCACATTTGAATTTAGTCTTAAAGTATCTCATGATTTTTGAAGTATATTAAAATTAACAATGGGAAGACCCACCAGAAAAAGCCAAACTATAGGAAAAGCCAAACTGGTAATGCCCACTAGCGCAGGCTATAACGCCGCAGGACGTTCTTGAATTTCGCTCGTATTGAAACTCAAACCACAGACTTTGTGCCACGTATGTAATTTTGGGTGTTTTATAATTATTCTAAAGGTCCAAAATGGACCACTTTTTATATACCCACCCAAATTCTCATAAAGGAGTAAAAATGTTTTGTGCAATCAACTTCTTTACAACAACCAGTTCGTTGTAAGGCAGCCAAATGGAGTCTCCTCAAAGAGGATTTTGAGGGGAATTACCACACAACTAAATATGAGAACTGTCATCCCTCTTAAATGTGACGTCAGACGACCATGCGCAGCACTGGCTGACACCAATCTATCACACTACATCATACAACCTCGACATCATTAGACGAAGTACTGGGTTCTATCTTATCATTTAAAATCTCTTCTTCCGGGGGGTTCTCAATTTTGTCGTCAGATTCCGGGGCTGCTACATCTTCCGGGGGTGCTACATCTTCTTGATCGTTCGAAGGTGAATCTGTTTCCACTTGAAACGATGGCTCCTCCAAACTAACTTTCGGCTCGGAAACAAGAGCTATAAAGAAAGAATCTCACACATTAGGTGAATCAGAAAATAGTTTTGCGCAGAAAACTGACCCAAAATCTGACAAAATCGCTTACCCTGAATTTCTGGCGAGTCTGGTGCGAAACCAGCAATCCGCAAATAATGCATTCTGTCTCCTTTGGCGATCAAACTTCGTAAGATAACTGTCCTACTTCTCCAACCACACACAGCGATTTTCACACTGACTGTGTCAGTCGCTTTTCTAGAGAGAAAGGTTGTCGAAAAGACGCTGAATTATGAGTAGTCATGTTTTTTTTTGACAGCGTAGAAACCTGATTTCAGAAGTATTGGCATTTACAAGGGCAAAAAATGATCAAAAAATATATCTTGTGTTTACCAGGCGTACCTCGTTTTTGGATCGTACGAGAAAATAATGCATCCAGGACCTAAAACGTACATTTTGGAAGTTAACGGTTTAAAATGCTTAACTAACAACGAACAGAAATGTCCATAAGATTGTATCACAATCAACAGGGGTTCATACAACTACTGGATTATGGCATGTATGGAGTAATAACCTGGAAAAACAGATGTAGTGTCTTAAGTAAAAATATGGAAATTTTGAGTTTTAATATCGTTACGGTAAATACGTCACTGGTCACGTGACCAGACGACATTTCTATTTTTTCCCAAAATCTCTTAAAAGGATATTTTTCAAGCAAAGAAATGATTAAGTATTGAGCAAGTCAAGTGTCATCAGCAATCAATGAAATCAGACTCATTACGTATTCTAGGTCCCAGTCCACTTACCAATATTTCCAAGCGCGGACTTTGTTTCAGTCGTCATTTGAGAGACTTTAGGACTTGTATCCACCAGTATCCTAACAAGATCCTCTTGCGGTACGTTAATCACACGTTTGTTCGAGAGGAACGGCAGAATTGTCTCGAGGGCCTGGTAATAGAATTCGCGAATCATTAATGATTCATCCTTGCGGAATGTATGTCACTTTGGCTATAAGAGCTTCGTTTTCGTGTATGTGATAATAGTTACAGCCCAACATCTCAATAATGAATCTCAATAGCTACGGTGATGTACTTTCCGGAAGCTTGTATTGTTATGATTTATTTTGTACCAATATCTTATACATACTTCTCCGTTAATTCTAAACGACCAATCTTGATCACTGTTTTCACATCTCGTAAATAATCTTAAACCAGCATTTATAACCTAGATGGACAAATTACATGATGTGAAACGAACTGAAACACTTGTGTTGATATCATAGTAGTTAGTGCATTTGGCTGTCACCTCCGTAACAAAAAGTTCGATTCCTGCAGTAAACCGACTACGATTTCGATTACTTCCAGCCTTACTCCACAAAACACCACAGATTTTCTCCTGGTACTCTGGTGTATTCTTCTAATAACACTGGACCAATAAGTGATTGCCTTTATGGACAACTAGAGAGAGCAGTTTAGAACTCATAGAGTTCTCTAGAATCAACCTGGTACTCAGGGTTTTCACTTCCGCTATCCCCCAAACCTGCAGAATAAGTAAAATTACTGTACGTTCAGAAGACAAAAATAAATGTGACTTACATTAAATTTCTGCTGGTCAACATTTCTCAACATGGAGGCCAATCCTGTAGACACGAAATAAATCGTACGTTTTCTTTCACTGGCTGATCGGATCAATAATACATTTTCCGGAAAATCATCTGAGATTTCGTAGAATTTCCTGAAAATGATGATAAATTGTTTGAGTGTCCTTCATTTAAATATCTTAGTGCTATCTTAGTGTCTATCATTTAATTATCGAGTGCTTACCTGATGGTCGTCCAATGCGAGTCGGTATTTTCCACGAATACAAAAGGATTTTCTCTATTGTCTGATTTTTGGTCAACTCTTCTTCTTTTCGTCAGTGGTCCCGCTACACTCGAGCTGCAAACATGAGGCGATGGGATGTTAGGTTGATTACGAATGGAAAAGAAATTGCTGTATTTCAACTATGGTTGTAACAGTATGAAAATTCAGCAAAAACGAAGAATCTCGAAGAATCTTTACCATTCATTTTCGGAGATTGGTTGAGGTATTTGCTCCTCTGTTTCTTCTTCATCACCAGAGTCCATATCCACATTTGAAGTTCCCTCGCAGTTTCCAAGTTCAGACGTCTTCGCCTCACCACAACAGTTTTCGTTCAGTGCCGTTTCTTCCCCTTTGCTGGTTTCAGTTTCATTTTTAACCGCTTTATCTTCTGTCCCAGTAGAATGGTTTCCAGCACGCTTCGTGTTCTGAGAAAAAGATTATTTTGATCAATAAACAGCAGATGAAACCGAAAGCAAGAAGCGCTGCTTTCGGGATTCTACGGTGTATATTACGTCACTAACACACCTGTTTTTCTTTCTTTGTAATTTCCCATGGTAACAACTTTGGGTGTGGTCGATACCCTGGTTTCCATGGTAACGAGGATTTCTTCTGTAGAACAGCGATAAAGAATCCGCCAGTGTCTTGTTGATGAGGGTAAAGTCGCCAACTGTAACAAAAATCGATTGATTGATCAGATTAAAATCTCAAATACTCTTGGTAAACGTTGAAGTTTGACATGAGAACAAACGGTAGATGTTCCAAGTGTTCCAATCACTACCCTACCAGCGGGATAAATGTTGTTTCTCTCTCTCTGCAGTACTTGGTGGCCACATTGATTCGAGAAAGCCATGGGTACGATCTGACGAGCTGCACTCTGCAAAGCTTGGAACTGGACGACCGTCTTTTGTTTGGATCTTAAGGAACGATAGTTGTTAGACTATCATTAGTTTGCAACTATCGTTACAACATTATTCTTAATAGATATACAATACCTTCCAGTCAAGAAGGCCACTCGATCTTTTTAACAATGGCAATCTGTCGGAAACATCAACTAACTCAACTGAACCTAAAACGTAAGATATTGCGTAGGGATATAAAGCGTTGTGTACAGTATATAGAGGATATTACACGGAGGCGCGAAGATATAACTTTATCTTCGAGTGGTATAAAAATCATATCTTCAAGCCACCGTGAAATTTCACGCTGAAAAGCAAATTGGAAAAAGTCACATTATCGATATCTTCACTAGTGAAGATACGGAAAATATCTCACTGCGTATTTTTCAGTATCTCACTCTTTACTACAGTATATAATAAATGGCAATATTTTCCCGCATTTGTTTTTATTTAGTCGCGGTCACCGACATGAAATAGTCTGGATCTAACTTGTGTTTTGTGTGCTGTATGTGAACGAGTCTTCACTGATTGCAGAAATGTAGACACTGTACTACATCAGCCACCTTAATATGGTCGCGACAGCCACAACCAAATGGAAGCTGGGCACTAGTTCTGACTTCCGAGGTCACGAGATACCTTGAGCTCTGAGCAGTAACTGTGAGACAACAGCTTCATCTTCGACAGGATTCATTGAACATGTGGAATAAACCACCATGCCTCCAACAGCCAACATCTCGACTGCTCTCACGAGAATTCTCAACTGTGTCCTAAGGAGAAATTGAGAATAAAGATGAAGCAGCTTGACTTGAGTTGCCGGGATTGTAACACATTGTTTCCAGTTTGACTCTCTCAGACACTGCAGGTTTTCTCTAGACTTGCTACAAGTCGACGCTCAAGCCATTCATTTTATTACTTAGTGTGTAGGTGAAATCATTTTGTGGAGACGACATTTTTACTGAGAAAAAACAAGAGTACGCATTCTATATTTATTATATCTGTGGGTGAAATGCGTAGTTCCAGATAATTTGGAATTCAAATGGAAAACAACAAACACTCTCAAACACAAAGGGAACACATTCAAGATACATTTTCAAGTCATTATTCTGAGCAGTACTATATACAGTACTTATGAAGGTTGATGCCACTTTCTGGATTCCATTTTCTCCAAATCTGTGGATTCTTTCTCATCGTACCATCACCGCTGAAAAAACACACAATTTGAAAGGTTTACTTCATTGCATTAGCTTTGTTTCACAGTTGGTAAACTATTTTTACCTGCAAGGAACATCACATAATATTCTATCAAACAGCATTGGCGAAGTTTGGTCAGAATCTTTCTGAAAAGATAAAGAACATGGTATAGTTACATTTGTAATTCTGTATATGTTCCAATTTCTTCCACAGTTTAAAGTTGTTGAATAACTTGAATGTGCTTTACAAGCGCTGACCACTCTGGATCAACAAAGGAAAGTTATAAGGGCTACCTGTTTAATGTTAATGTCAGGAAACGCAGCAGCATCATGATTTGTGATGAGACAACAAGGACTGTGAATTCTCCGACTTTGATGAACCAACATGTAGCAACGTTTTGGATCAATGTCATTTGCAATTACAAAACCCTTGGGAAGAGTGCTGGCTTCTTTCTCATGAAGCATCTCAATCAATTGTGCTGTCTTTGAACCTGGTGCAGCACATACATCTAATATCTACATTGGAAAGAAATGCAGTCTGGCAAATTGGGAATTCTGGCATTTGAAAACAGATTTCTTGCTTTTCAGAACGGAGTTATACCATTTCGAAACAGAGTCCTGGCATTGCAAAATCGAGTTCTGGCATTTGAAAAGAGAGTTCTTGCATTTGAAAACGAAGTTCCGGCATTTGAATATGGTGTTCTGGCATTTGAAAATAGAGTTCTGACTTTTGAAAACTGAGTTCTGGGATTTGAAAACGGCGTTTTGTCATTTGAAAGCGGACTTCTGGTATTAGAAAACGAAGATCTGCCATTTGAAAATAGTGTTCTGGCTTTTGGAAACGTAGTTCTGGGATTTTAAAACGGAGTTATGTCATTTGGAAAAAGTGTTCTGGAACTGCAAAATCCAGCTGTGGCATTTGGAAACAGAGTCCTTGCACTTGAAAACGGGATTTTGTCATTTGAAAATAGAGTTACTATCAGACCCTAATGTGGTATGATGTCCAATAATGTACCATGAAGCACCCTAATGTACTATACAGCACCCTTATGTACTTCCATGAACCATTATATACCCTTATGTAACTTCATGCACCCTAATATACCCCTATGTACCGTATTATATCACAATGTACCCTTATATAACTCCATGCACCCTAATATACCATAATGTATCCATATGTACCTTCATGTACCGTAATATACCCTTATGTACCCTATTATATCATAATATACCCTTATGTACCTCCATGACCCTAACATACCATAATGTACCCTTATGTACCTTCATGCACCATAACATACCAAAATGTACCAGAATGTACTAACCTTATGGTGAGGTTCAACATCAATAAGTAAAGGAGGTATCATGCTCACAGCTTCTTGCCGACTTAGATTACCCTGAATATAAAATATGTGGAAGTGCTTGTCCAAGTTTGATTCACGATAACATATAAATTTAATCCATTAAGTTGAATTGCACCCTACTTTATTAGTTCACTCTGTCTTATAATGCCAGCTGATTTTACTTGACAAGGGGAGAGTGTGGTGCTCAATGGGCCAAAGTATTAAGTTATTAAATAACCTGCTGGTTTTAAGTTACATACCATTTCAGATTCGTGAATCAGAAATTTATGAAAATCTGACACCATGCCAGAGCGTCTTATAAAGCGTCGAGTTAAATTGATTTGCCAGGCCAATTCATCAGGATACCTGGAGTAAATAATGATTTAATGATTGATGGCAGCAGATGGTGGAGAATGTAGTAATTGAACTATGTCTCTTGATTTGATTTATTTTTACAAGACTACTACTGTATGAAACATACAATAAAGAGAACATCAATTTCTCATCATTGATAATCTCCAGCAGGATAATGCTTATAACCACTCATCACCTCATGATAAATTTCAACCACTATCTCTTACCATGGTAATGGTTTCCCAACACAGTCCAGTTCCTCACCAAACTCTTCTTTAACATCATTCAACTTCTCAACATAATGTTTCTTCAAGTATTTCATGAGTTCCTCTGCATGGCTAGAAATCAGCATTATGAAACTTATTTGACTGAATGATCTAAACAACAATGTGGTTCATCTTACCCTCGTATTCCTGTAATCCTGAACGTTGACGGCAATCCTGTCCTTATGCTCGTCATAAAATTCTCCCATTCTTCTTCAGCAAGTATATTTTGAGCCTAATATAAGCAAGGAAAGAAATCTAATTACTATAAATATCAACACAATAGAAACAACTAAATATCAACAATACTTGCTTTATAATATTTTTCAAACAATTCATTTTCCTTCACAATGTCATCGTAAGATTCTCGAGGTTTTCTTTTGCCAGCAAAATGACTTTTCTTTTTTTTTGGTCCTCGATATGGTTTAGATGCAGTTTCCCCTGCCTTAAAGTAATATGGTTGTTTGCATCAGATAAAAACATTGTCTATTCTCACATTATCACTTAGCCCATTAAGTTGCATGCTCCCTAATGCGCCCTACCTCTGTCTAACAGAGGGAGGAATTAACGGTGGCAACCCAAGTAAATGATTATCAACATTTTATTTGGGGGGAGGGGGGACAAAACCAAAATTCTGTCCTGTACTCCCTGTTTAACACTGGGCCCCTGCCTGCCCCTCGCTTCCTATGCCCCTGCGAGGTAGGATAGCATTGCAATTTGTAGTAATTATTTCTCATGTGAAACTTCGATCTTTGTAACAAGCATTTGAATGTTTCAATTAGCGACGTCTGTCAATGAAATTTATGCTCCCGACAAACATGGAAGTTTTATATGATAATAAACATTAGATATTTTTATCTGCAACTGGTCATTCCTAGATGAAAATAACGGTATTTCCAAATTACTCTAGAACATATTATATATTTATGGTATCAAATAGTGAAATACAGAAAATCATTTAGAATTTTACAAATATTTCTGTAAAAACACATTATAATACCTTTTTCCGTGCCATATTTTGTTTGTCTACTTCACAAAAAAGAAATCTGAACTAGTAAACCATAAATAATCAATTCTCTAAAATCAAAGAATGTAAAATTCAAGAAACATACAAAATTTTCATATAAACACACGACACGTGCAGGGCAGATTCGGGCAGTCTTGTTGATGCAGGCTAATGTTGCGTAAAAAAGTAGGCACATTTGCGTACAAACATGGCGTCGATCAATAGTCGAAGAAGATATTTACGAAAATTCAAATGATAATTGTTTGATCATGGTGAATTATAAAGTACATAGAGTACGATTTGTTCCATATACACCTCAAGCTATACATTGTTTAGCTGTTGAAGGAAGAAAACGGCCAAGAATTGCCGTTTCAAGGTATTTTATCGAAGCTTCCAATTGCACGTGTTTATGGTTATTTATATGGTTTATCATTTATTATTGTGGTAAAGAAAATGAGTGTTTTATCTTTCAGAGCGGACAGCAGCATTGAGATATGGAGTATTGAAGATAACTGGTATTTGGAAAGGGTAATGAATTTTCAGTTTATGTCAACCATTCAGCCGATTCAGGATAGGGTTAGAATTTGGTTAGGGTATTAAAGTGTTTAAGTTGGGATGAAGAACTCAAAATAGAGTGATTTGAGAGGTGGGGGATTTTCAGTTTGTGTTGACCCAATTCTCCCCATTGGGTCATACCAGAAAACATCTGAACCTTCCCCACAGAGGAAATTGTAATTAACCCCCCTCCCCCCCCTTTTTAGATGTCCTAATACACTTACTATTATCACAAACAAATGTTTTTCCTCTTGCAATCCGGATGGCAGAAATTTCCTCCATGGGCGTAGTGTGGAATGACCCATTCCATCACTTTTCTAATTCTAACTCCCTACTAGAAAATATGTGGATGTAAAGAGACGTCTGTGGAAGCTCTTGTTTGGTCGGGCTCTCGTCTATTTTCATCTGGTCTTCATGGGGAAATCACAGAATGGGATCTCAATAAACTTAACGTGAAGGTGCGTTGCCCGCGTCTAATCAAGTGAAATGTGCACCTGACATTTTATTTTATCTAAAACAACCTGCTTGCTACTGTAGACATGTGTTGATTCCTATGGTGGAGCAGTGTGGAGCCTTGCTGTTAATCATGAACAAACATTAATGGCGGTATGTTGTGGTGGGAATTAGATTACTCACAAGTTATCTTTTGCATATACTGTGAACCACCCTTGTTCTCGTAGTTTATCGACTCGCTATGTGCCACACAAACCCAGGGAATAACAATGGTATATGTAGTAAACTTGACACTCAAAATTTCATCATTTTATTTTCTATTAGGCTGGTTGTGAGGATGGCTGTGTACGTTTGTTTGATATCACATCTGGAGACATTGAATATGCTCGTGTTTTCAGCAAACAGGAAGGTAAATTCATCGGGACTCACCTCATTAAAAAAAGTTCAAACTTCCACATCCCCATTAAAAACACAAAATTTACCCCCCCCCCCATTAAAAAAATAAAACTCCCCCCTCCCCATTAAAAAAAAACATAAAACTTCCCCCCTCCCAATAAAAACATAAAACTTCCCCCTTCATTAAAAAAGTAAATCATCCCCCTCCCTATTAAAAACATAAAACTCACCCCCTCATTAAAAAAGTAAAACTCCCCCCTCCCCATTAAAAACATAAAACTCACCCCCCCCCTCCCTAATTAAAAAAGTAAAACTTCCCCCTCCCATTAAAAAAAACTCCCCCTCCCCATTAAAAAAGTAAAACACCCCTTCCCCCAACCCACCCTTAGAAAATGAGCACCCTCCTAATTTGAAAGACTGGTATACCATGTAGGTCGAATTCTGTCTCTTTGCTGGCACAAAGATGGTCAAGTTTTAGTCGCAGGAGGATCAGATGCAACAATCAGAGTGTACGAAGTTTCCACAGGTAAAAATCGAGAAGCAAATTATTATTTTGAAAAGTCTGTACCAGTGTACGTAGTCCCAATAATAACAAAGTTGAGGATTGGTAGGGACTAACTTCCCGACAAAGGGCTTTTGCTCAAAATGTCGGAGTTCTCCTTGTATTTTTCAGGTAGTTGTATCCCTATCAATGCACAGCTATCTCACTAGATACTTATCCATTGAGAAATGTGGTTTACTCCCTGTAGGTCATGCAAGGCTTCGAATCACGTTGGATAATTTCAATCAAAGAAACACGCTTGTTTGGTCTTTGGTAGTCACAAGGTAAATAGACATCTAGATAGAATTGAACTGGAAGGTCAAAACTATTATTAAACTACATTAAACCCTTACTATGTCATGATGTTTTTTCACCAACTTGGTAGAGCATTGGACGTGCAGGTTCAATTCCAACCACAGTCAAGCAACTTTTACAGCTTGCCTGGCATGGAGAAACGTCAGCAAGAAAAAAAAACACATTAACTCAACATCATAATTGACCACCAGATGTTACATGATGTTGTTATAATTTCAGTGATTTCACAATCATCAGTGGTGATTCATTGGGAAAGACACAATTTTGGGATGGCAAACTTGGAACACTGATCAAGGTATAGTGAAGATTGTATTGAAATGATGATTTGTTTTTCACCCAATCAATTTATTCCAGTTCCAATTGTCAGCCATGATTCGGATTGCTAATATTCTTGCAGAGTTTCAATGTCCACATTGCAGATGTCCTGGCTGTCTGTGTTAACCAGGTATGATTGTTGCAATTAGCAAAATTCTACTGTATAGAATGTTTTGCTTAACCATGCATCATGATAATCTTTTATAGAAGGAAGATACAGTCTATGCCTCTGGAGTAGACAATAAGTTAGTGCAGTTTAAACTTATCACCGACAAGGTAAATTTTCACATTCTTTACATCACTTACAAAAATGACAATATGTATAATTATTGCAATGACATTATAGTACATTACGAATGATGCCAATTCATTTCCAATTATACTCATTTCTAGGACGGAAGCAAAACGTGGAGTAGATCAAATTCAACAAGAGCTCACACTCACGACATAAGAGCATTGGCCATGATAGAGAAAGATGAAAAATCAGCGCTGGTTTCAGGAGGTCATTACACTTCGTTGTCTATCAGAAATATTAAAAATATAATATGTTACCTTAATTCTTATTGCTCTGTCGTTTTGTAATCATCTGTTTTCTTTCAGGTGTTGATACAAATATCATGGTTTACTCCACAGCAAAATATGGCTGTTCAGATCTCAGGAAAATTCCAGCATATCCACTGGTAGAATCTTACAGCTATTTAGCACTATTTGATATGAACCCAGACTTGTCTGATTATCTTTTTTCTGCATTAAGTTTTCCACTTCCCTATCTTACAAGATAAAATTGAAACTCTACAGCAGTTTCTTTCCAATTTCGCTAGACTCCAGAAATCCATCTTGCAAGTCAAGCCCAGATATTGATGTATCAAAAGACAAATGCACTCCATTTTTGGAAACTTGGGAAAACAGGTGAAGACGCTATTCTTCTTCGATGTAACAGCTTGTTTGCGTTGCCAGAGCCTCCATGCAAAGTTGATGTACTAAAAAGGAAAACTTCTTCTGTTGTAGTGAATGAAGAAAGTTGTCATCTTCAAGAAAATCCATCGCATTTCTTACAACTAGAAGCCAAGGTAACCGAGAATTACTCTTCTACAATGAACTGGACACGGACACGATTAAATTTTAGTAGTATACGCTCAGCCTTATTATGTCTTAGAGGTACAAGAGTAAATTTTAACACAACATTTTGAATTCGCTTGTGCAGAGGCGAACATGTTTAATTCTATAAACTACCATTAATTTTAAATTTAATCAGAAATATAAACTGAAGTCCTTTTACAATGTAAATATCCGTATTTTTATTAGTATATCGCGTAGTTATTATTGAACTTAAACTAGTTTAAAGCGAAGGTAACAGATGAAATAACAGCAATCAAAATAAAATTTTGTTGTTTCTCTCTTTAAGAGTTCCAACCACATTGTTTGTTCTGCAATATCGGATGATGGTTTATGGACGGCATTTTCAGATATTCATCACATCAGTTTATTCAAGTTACATCTGGTATATTTCATGATCTTCGCAACACTTCTAGTGTAGTAGTAGCGGTGAACTTGTTGTAGGAAGTTAACAAGTATTTGGTTTGCTTTGAAGATAAAGTTTTAATATATTTTATTTAGGACGACGACAAATCTTCGGCTGTTCAACGGGTTGGTACTATTATAATTGGTAGTATTTTCTATTTCTTTGCAATGAAAAACCCGTCCTTTGCAGTTTACAGTTAGCATATATACTATACGTAATACATTGGTACAGTACTATTCTATTCCACAGGTAAAATTTCTACCAGAGGAGATCGTGCCAGGCCATCGTATGAAATTTACAAAAGATTGCTTAAAACTTATTACAATCACCAACAGAAAATCATTACAAGTAAGTGCAGCTTTCAGTCTCGCGTGTATTTTCGACAGCGAAATAACAATCCCATAAATTTCTTTCTCGGTAACTTATTATATTTCAGATCATCCATTTGGATACCGACTCGATAACGGTTGAAACAGTTGAGTTTCCAGTGAACAATACTACAATTGATCACAGAGATTTGGGTGAGTATAAGGCACATTAGGACCTGCTCTTTCCATTGGTAATTCAAAAAAAGTGCCCTCTCCATAGTCCGCCTTTTGACAATTTAAATAAATACAAACAGGAAGAAGTGTTAACATAATATACATGTAATAGTATAGAACTATTTACAATTTAGATTAAAAAAGTTTAACAGACGAAGGAATAAAAGTGTTTAAAAATCTGTTTCAGTTTTTCGTTTCCATGCCTGCTGTATATCATAGCCATGTCTATATTTCACATCTGCTATGTTTAGATCCTGACTCTCCAGTGACTGTGCTGGCTATCAGCTCAGACGGGACGCTGTGTGCAAGTGCTGACATTGCTGGCTCTATTCAAGTCTTTGATGTGCAAAATACCAAGGTACGATTATGAATTTATTGCATGAATTACCTGTACACAACTTGGGGCAGTAATCTTGTATTTGGAGGCAAATAAACGAGTGAGGGAGTTTAATTTTCTTGTTCCTTGTAAGCACCAATACATGTTGTTTTGAGGTTGACCATCCTCTGTTGCGCTTACTCACACCATAGGTAATAAAAACACTAACTTTATAACTATATCCATGCTGAAACCCACCAATTTTGAATATTTTTCCAGCACCATTGCACCCTACCAAGATTTTCAAGACAAATAACTGCCATGGCTTTTCAACCTGAGACAAATATCTTAGTACTGGTTAATACGGACAAGGAGGTGAAGTTTAAGAGTTGAAATCGCTTTATTTAAATGGAGGATGCTAACATGGATACTTGACGTCATGTTTCGCTACATGTCTGAGATTCATTCTTTTTCCATTTCAGGTCTTCATGTTTAATATTAGGAAGATGAAAATGACAGGCTGGTCAAAGAAAGCTTCCAAAGCAGGGCTGCCACAACAATGGCAGAAAATGCCAACAAAAGTTATAAATATTTTGTTTGATCCTTATTGTAAAGACACGATGTTGCTTCAGAGCCATGATATGTTCGTGTTGCTTGATACGACCAAGGTATGTCGGTTCGTTGCTTCACACCTGTATAGCCTGATTATCGCACGACTTTTACAATGGGATTTTTCTTGTTTCCAATTCTTACTTCATTCAACATGGTGGAAATCTCTCTGTTCTTAGAATCCTTGGGAATTGATTGCACACACCCTGTAAGGCTTGCAGTGATAAGCCTTGGGGTTAAAAAAGGTTTCTGTTAAAAAATGTTTCTTCGTTATTTATCCAGCCATTACCGTCAAAAAGTATAAAATTGTTCGAAACGAAACGAGACAAATTTGAAGCCCGTATTGGGAAGAAAAGAAAACACAGCGAGTCTGTGAAGACCACTGAACGAGAAGAGATAGAACAATCAGAAGCTTTCAAAATATGCAAGAAATATCAGGTAGGAATTCTTGACATTTACAGTACATCTTCTTGTACAGATCTTCTTCTATCCATTTCTTTTTCGGTTTCTCCCGTCTTCTGTTCCCTTTATCTCCAGCTCCATGTCTCATGACTAACTTTCCTTCATCTCTAATTACACTGACCAACTCTCTCTTTCATCTCTTCTTATTACGTGTCCACATCAACTCAACCTTGCTTCCCTCACCTTCTCTGCAATGTCTACCACCACATCTTCTGATCTCGTCATTCCATAATGTCTCTGACCAGCTCTCCTTCATCTCTTCTTATCACGTGTCCATACCATCTCAACCTTGCTTCCCTCACCTTCTCTGCAATACCTACCACCCCACATCTTCAGATCTCTTCATTTCATGACTCACAAAATAAGTTTCATATTAGCACATAACTGAGTTCTTCATGTTTTCCCTTTCAGCCTTTACTGTTCCTTGGTGTGAACGATGATAAATCTGTGGTAACTGTAGAAAGATCTTGGTTGTCAATAATGGAGAGTTTGCCGCCAACACTACATCGCAAGAGATATGGAACATAACCAACTACACTCTCTCGTTACTGTGCTAACTACGGTCGCAGTGAAGTATTGGAGGACCGTTCATTATAGCCTGCACGAAAATACACCCGCAATGGGTTAAACATGCAAGGAATTGGGCTTTCAAAGTTTCTGCTTTTCCTAACAATCAAACAACTATATCCAACCCAGCACGTCTGATATCGTCTCTATATAAAAGGTCTGAACGTTTCACAAAGGTCATTGCAATCTGTCATATCCAGAAAGCAAGTAATTTTTGTATGACTTGTGACAAGCCCATCATTATCATAAATAAAATATCAGTCTAACTAAACATTAACTTATCTATACGCTGTGCGTTGACATTGTCATGAATAAATATCAATGTTAAGAAATACTTTAGTTATTTTGTAGCAAAGCTATTCGTTGGCTAAACCAATCATTGGTACAGTATTCCAACTACTGCTATCTAATTCTTCAAGTTTAAAACTTATCTGTGAGTTTTTGTCCTGCATTTTCTCCGCGATGTGACAATGCATTGGTCCAAGATATTTGTTCAGAACGGAATTCACATTATACGTCTATAGAGAAAAAAAACGTACGTATGACACTACCAGTTTGACTCTACTAAACACTACAGGTATTCCAGTTTCCTCCTGTAGTAACACTGGACCAATAACCAAGACATAGAAAGAACAGTTTAGCAGTGATAAAGCTATCTGGCAGAGGCTATCTGGTATAGATAAATTGAATTTAGTTTACCTCGCTATTGGTTTTCTCTGATCCAGATAGCAAATTTCTTATGGTCTTTTGAAGAAGCTAAAGTTTAAAACACAGAAACAGAAAAAAATTAAAATGGAGAAGTTTGGAAGATTAATGTATAAGCCTCGTTCCCAGGCCCCTCCCTCGGATGACCCGCACTGGATCTCTGGAGAGAACAGTTTAGAAGTGACGAAGCTATCCAGTATAAAATATCTTTATGTACCTTAACTTTAACCATGAATGTTGATGTACTTGTGGACTCCAAGTACACTTCCAAATGAATGTTTGTAACGGGAGAGTTGAACTCCAGAGCGCATGCGTTGCAATGATATTGTGAAATACTGTAAGAAAAATATTAAAAATATAAAACAACATTGTTTAAACGAGCATATACTAGATTCCCGTCGGCAGGAAAGTCCACAGAAGAAAAAAATCTTAGTTCGATTTGTGATTATCTAAGGTACTTTTCATTATACGCCACTTATGAATGCGTGCGCATAAACGTGTCCCATAATAATTGCACCAACTTACGTCATATTTAAAGAGGACTCCGTTGACGTCATTTAAGTCCGAGAATATACTTCGACGTTTCGAGCAAAGGCTTTTTAAGCCCAATTTTTTCGCGGGCCTGACCTTGTTGGGCCTAGTCACAGAATAAAGATCAGTAACAGAAGGGCCACTCAGCGGTGCAACGTGTCCTCATTTTTCTTATGCAAAAATATGCAGTTTAGTGACCAGAAGGCGAAGCATCCAGCCAGTACAGCGTGTTTACCGGCCAGAAAATGCCATTGACTGGCTAGGAAAATGGCGGCCAACATGCGCGAGGACAGAAACTTCAAAGCTTCCGACGTAAGTGGCCCTTCTGTATGGATCTTTATTCTGTGGCACGAAATTAATATGTCAAGAACTAATAAGTTATGCCAATGATTATACTAAATCTGACTGGGAACATTGAATGGCCTGTTTCAGTGTTGGTTGCAGTGGCAATAATAAGATAGCTTCGGATTAACTTCCAGACGAAGGGCATTCGCTCGAAACTTCGAAGTTCTCCGTGTACCCTTCAGGTAGTTGTATCCCTAGCAATCCTAAGCTTTCTTATAATATATGAACAACGAGAGCGAGTGATTCACCGGGATATCCAAACACGAGAAAACAATGTATGTAAACACGAGCACGAAGCGCGAGTGTTTTCACACATTGTTTTCGAGTGTTGGGATATCCCGGTGAGACACGAGCTCGAGTTGTTTATATGGCTTCTCAAATGAATCGAGACGTAACAGAATGTTTTCGTTTGCTGATTTGAATAGAATTCTTAACCAAGCATAACGTAATTAGAAATTCTATTCAAGTAATTTTGCATGCGTAATTAAGATATTTGATGAAAACACTAGTGACTTTCATCAAGTTTCACCGGGTTATCCAAATGGCATCTTGTGATCAAATAGTGATTATCATTGGCGGAATTGCTCATGAATTATTAATGAATTTGAGAAATTATTGCCACTACCTACACTGCCACAGACTGTTCAACTTTCTACTCACCTATTTGATATTTCTGATATATCCTCACTACTACAGTGGAAACAAGAATACCAACAAAAAGCGTTTTCATGATCGACACCAGAAATTACACCTAAACAAAGATGATGATACTGACATGAATGTTCCGAGATTAAGTGCCAGTATGAAGCCCTGGGCCTGGGGCCGGTTGTATAAAAAAGTGATTAAAGTTAACTAGTGGAAACGTCATCCAATAAGAAGCGCGTATTTGAGAGTTAATCACTGTTTAACTACAAAATAGTGATTAAAAAAGTGATTAAGAGTTTATACAACCAGCCCCAGGTCCAAAGAGAATGAGAGTTGATGAGAGTTGTCAGTCACGCATTATTACAGGGGACATTTCAAGCTCTAGATTAAAAAAGTTTGATGAGTGTTCCAGCTATGTTTTACATGATAGTGTTGGGAAAGCATTAAGAACTAATGCACCTATCAATGTTAAGCCCCAGGGGGGGGGGGCGGACAACCCCTGGGAAATTGATCATCAATGAGTCTCGGGAATTCGACAATACTGATGGGTCCGAGGGGTAGGGAAATTTGACATAGCCGCCATTTTGAATAATTGTAAAATTGGAATAATTTTCGACTGAGCATGCGCAGTTCTCAATTCATGTGGAAGCTCGGAATAAAGGTGAGAAAATCTTTCTTTTTTCACTACCAGTGTGCATGTTGGAACACTTTGGTCTACTAGAACAAATAGACGACTTATTTTGGACATGCATATGTTTTGCAGTTCAATATGATTCTGCTGTATATTCCTGTTTATTAAAATGTTGTTTCCTTCAGAGTAGAGGGGTTGCCCAGGAGGGGGGAAATTTGACCAACTACTTAAGCCCCAGAGTCGGAAAATTGACAAAAGACAAGTTGAAAATGTCAAATTCCCCGGGGGTTGTACGCCCCCCCCCCCCCACCCTGGGGCTAAACATTGATAGGCGCATAACCAAGATCACGTGACTGCCAACTCTCATCATTTGATCCAATCTCAAAAGAGTGATGATATTAAACATGTACAGTACTATTGAGCAGATTTTCTAAGCACCACACACCTTCAAGCATTACTAAACAATCAACTCTACAATTTTCGTTCAAAGTTGGTAACCCAGCCACAGGAAGAGATTTCAAACAAGTACACTCTTCATCTGTCATTGTCGTCGTCATTGTTCTATGCCAAATCTAGTGTTAAATAAATAAGTCCAATATATATATATATATATATATTAGTCTTACAGAATACAGGCTTCCGGAAATGACGTCACCTTAGCTATAGAGCCTCGTTTTCGTGGTTGAGACGTGACCTTTAAAGGCCAATTTACACTACACAACTTTTACCTAAAACTGTCGCATGCAACCTGCTTACAACTTGAGTTGTACTGTGTAAATCAAACACACAATCGTCCACGTATCGTAGGTGCCTTTGTGTGCTTGATTTACACAGTACAACTCAAGTTGTAGGCAGGTTGCATGCGACAGTTTTAGGCAAAAGTTGTGTAGTGTAAATTGGTCTTAACTGATGTCAGACACACAAAAACGAGGCTTTATAGGTACTTTCCAGAGGGTGTATTGAGAGATGAAGTTCAATTTTCTTCCCCTTGCAAGTATCGACAATTCTAAAGTTGACCAACATCAGATGACACATAACGTTTACTGAAACCCACTATTAAATAGGACATTCAGCACTTGTCTCATGCAAGAAAATTTCGCAAATAAAACATTCCCAAAGAAGATTAAACTGATTACCTCATGGATGTTCTGCGCAGATTCATCAGTTGGAGAGGACTGAAGAACGATGACTTGAATCTTCGAAAATATGTCAGCAGTCAGAATTGCTGGATTTACTAATTTAAAATCATAACAGGACAGTGGTCAGTACATGCCCAGTTCATCTCCGAGGTTGCATTCCTGCAATATGTATTTGTTTGATCATAATTTCATCTCAGTTGCGTATGAGAAGAGTTCTTTTAGTTTGACTCTAACAAACACCACGGGTGTTCTTCAGGTACTCTAGTTTGCCCCTTTAAGACCTTTTCCACTAAGAAAATTATCCACGGACAAAATATTTTCCGAAAGTATCATTGTTAAAAGTTAAGATTTGTGCCAGCCAATCACATTTTACAAAATTTCTTTCTGCGGAAAATTTTCCTGAGTGGAAATGGGCCTTTAGTGAACCTCTTGGGAGAACATTTAAGAACTGATAGAGGTATGCAGTACAAATAAAGTTACAGTAATTTAGTTTAGGTTTCCTCGTGTAGTAATACTGGACCTCTAGGTAGAACAGTTTAGAACTGATAGAACTATATGCAGTAACTTTATATAAACAAAGTTTAGTTTACTACAACATACCAACCTCTGTCAAACACCACATCTTGAATGGACAGCAGCTGACCAGCTAATAGTGTGGATGCATCCCATTCTACCGTTCTACCGCTGGAATAACTAACTTGGATAACTGAGATTGTTGGCTCAAGTGTTACGTCACTCTCCAGGCAATGGTGAGCAATACATTTTCCAGATAACCATAAACGAACGTGTTTTGTATTGTAATATTTATCGTTTGTAAATCTAGCGTAAAGTAGTTTGCCACAAAAGCTTACACGGCGACTATCAATGGCTGTAGCTGAATTCAAGTCGTTTAACCTTTCTGGTGAACTGTACTCGGGATAGTCTACAAGATAGAGTGACACGATTTAAGGTCCAGACACACCGGACGCGATTCGACAACGCGACGCGATTTTTCGATTTTCACTGACCGATAACTTTGATCCTAGTTTGAATTTTCCAAATATTTAGAAGCGCTATAACATTTTGAGTTATTCGGTCTACATATCTTTCAAAATTTGCTCTCATTGGGTGTTTTATTAACTTTCAAAAACTAAAAATCGCGTCGTTTTGTCGAATCGCATCTGGACCTTTACGCATGGGTGCCAGTGTTACAGGGGCGGCAGACTATCTCCATTCTATTTATTTACCACCAAACACAAGATTGAAAATGAATGAATTTTAACTCCTCATTCTGATAATGCTGACTATCATCTGCTGCACGACAACGCTTAGTACCATACACTTGTAAAATCAGTTTTAATTAAGTGAAAATTGAATTGCAACAGAAACTAAATCGTACCTGAAACTTTGTCTTCAGACACGTGTTCTACTGTGGATTGGTCATCAAACGTGAAGACAAAACATGATTGTTGTTTCTTGGAACTCGTCGTTTTCAGAGAATCGATTAAACCAAACAGCTGGCGCGCTCTGGAAGGCAAATTAAGTAAGATTAAGTCTATAGAAATACCAACAACGACACACAGAACAACAACAACCCTAAAACAACCCTACTGCAAAAACTATAAAACTAAAACGCAAAACAATTACCGTTTTCGATTTCTACGTTCAACCAGTCGGAGTTTCGAAAAAGATAAAACCGTTCCTTGTGAGTGACACAAAACGTCCTGCCTAAACACATACAAGGGTAATGAACTTTTTCTGTTTTATATGGAAAGCAAGAAAAGTGTTTTCCAGCCAAGTGTTTGTGACAGGAAAGAAGAAGTTTTATATTCGTTTTGAGACGTACCAATCTGTTCTATTTAATAAGATATCTTCACGCAACCTCACTTCACAGCAAACACTGGAGAAGCCTTGTACCAAGCAACACAAACTGCAATGAAAATAGTCTTGGTAAAAACGCAAGAGTAGAAAGTAAATGTAGAAGTGTACTGTATAGACCAAATAATGATTATAAAGTACCTCATGCGTTTTTCCTTATTCAATATTCTTGCATTCTCAATGATGGACACTGTCAACGAACTGTAAAAAATACCAGTCTGACATAAATCGTATAAATAACGCTAGTTCCATGCCTGAAGATTTTATTTTTATAGAGGTCGCCTAGGGAGTAAGCCATCTCGGTGCAGCCAGGTTTAGATAGCTGGCTTTGTTAACCAGTGACTTCTAGTAAACTCTACTCCCTCCCTATGATTCTTGAAGTGGACCCAGAATTCTTAATTTACTTGCGCTTTGAAGCGCGCATTTGAATGAGGAGGCGCTAGCACGATGTCTATGGAGATAGCGTCACTCCATGGCTTCCCAGCGGCTACGATTATTAGTTCAGTTTACTGAATGTCAGCAGTACACCCACCTGGCGGAGCTACGATTGCCATCGTTAATCTCTATACTTCGCCAATATATCCTCTGTATCCTTGCAGTAACATTAACCCTTGTTGTCATAGATACTCCTTCATATCCAAAGGAATCCTGTAAGGGCCATTCTACCCCAGTCTCCGTTGTCTCGTTCCTCCTCTCATCTTGTTCATCCTCGTTCTCCATGACAATGTCGGAATGAATCTCGTCAATGTTCTCTCTGACAACTGTTGAATGCGTGACCTTAAAAAATATTTCAGTCATATTGGGGTCCAGTGTAGGTAGCATTCTACAACGGTCAGTGCCAGTGTAGGTATTGCCGAATCAATAACCAGGTGATCTGACGGTGAGCAAAAGGACTGGGACTAGCAACAGAATAGAAATTCAGTTTCGTACCTTTAATCACTTGTTACGCCCTGATTGTTTTGTGAAACTGTTTGAAACTTTGTGTCTGTGCCTCGCACAGGGAAATGAATAACTGGGATAAATGTGAGATAGAAATCTAATACCGTTTAATGAGATATTGAGTAATTTTAAACCAGAAATGGATTTCTATTTTACAACTAGTGCCAGGCCTTTTCCGA